TGCATATTATACATGGGCTTGGCGCTGAACTTCCGTCACGTGTATTTAATCCTGATAAACAGGTTTATCACTCACTTAAAGAACGCAGCCCGATGCTCAATCGATACCTACGATATCAAAAACATATTTATTAACTTGAGAAGAAAAATACAACTACACGAAAGAAATGGGAACCTTTTCTACCTTCTTTGGAGAAAATTAGAGAAAACACCTTGTTCTCCACTAATACATGCCTACATGTATCTCATTATGGAGAGTATTACTGCCCATCTCTCCTAACCCAGTAGTGTCTCTGCTTCCACTAAATTGTAAGCATTAATGATTTTTTTCCCTTTTCCTTTTTCTCTTAGCATGCTCGTATGTGTGTGACAGAAATGTGTGTGAATGTATGCAATTTGTTTAGATGGGAGAGTGTGCGTTCTTGAAAGTAGTGCCAGCTGTAACGCTTCTTTATCTTTTTATTTCCGTTTTCTTCTTTTTTGTTCTAGTATTGTTAAACAAGTTTTAATAAGCGACTTATTTGGTTAGTATTGAAGTACACTGATTGTGTATGTGATTGCACCATTGTTAAGAGCCCTACACTGGTTACCTGTGGCATATCGAATAGTTTTTAAAATTTTAATGTTAACTTTCAAGACCATTCATAATCTCGCTCCGCTTACATTTCCGAACTTGTATCTCTGAAAGACACTGGGGGTAGGTACTATCTTAGATCAAATGACGGCAAACTTCTTAACATTCCATTATGGTGGGCGGGGGGGGCGAAGTACAAAGAATATATTCGCGCAAGGGAAAATTAAATGAAAAAAATTCATGTACGCCAATTAATCCTCAAAGTCCTATTTACAGATCGCACCTAATAATTTGTTAAAAATAATAAGTCTAAAATTCTATAAACAAGGACTAATTATTCTTTAAATCATATTTACAAATCCTTCTTTATAAAAAGAATAAAAGTAATAAATTAGTTGGTAAACGCAATAGAAATAGATGAGTTTTAAGAGCGTTCTTAAGGTATCATCCACCCTCAAGCACCCTCCTCGCGTTGATCGGCGATAGTGCTTTTGCTTTTAACAAATACCCCCATAAACCGTACATTTTCTGAAAGCTTAATAATTCCAGATTATTGCCTATTCTTTTAAAAAATCAAAATAAAAACACGATTCAGAGATGAGAAGCGTTTTGTGAAAGTGCGTGTCACCGTAAATTTAAGTCCAGGCCAGCCAAAAATAAACGGAAGAAGCCAATTAAGATCGCTTTTGCTTCTTAACACGTTTGACTAAGGGACGGACCATCAGAAAAGTTATGAGGGGTGGTGGGGGGGATGTGGGGAATTTTCGACCCGCAGGAACTTTTTTTCGTTATCAAATTCCTTGTATGAATCTTTTTTAGGCCATAGCATGAATATTGTTTAGGGTTAATTAGTCATTGTTTTTAGAATTTTTGAATTGGAATATGCTTTAGGATTTTAGGCTTTTGTTGAGTCAATGTTATGCGCAGATGAAAATCTCTTTCCCTGGATTGATATTTGCGCAATACAAATCAATAAATATTATATCATTATTATTATTGTTGTTATTATTATTATTATTATTATTATCATTTTTATTATTATTATTATTATTATTATTAGTCTTTGTGAAACTTTCAAAAAAACCTTTGGTCGAACATTTTACTGATGTACCGGACAGACACTGGTGAAGCGAAAAAAAGGCAATAAACTATTACACGAGACCTTTAATTCAGGGATCCGCGTAGGTTGCCTGTAACCCACCACCACCACCTTTGTTAGAGGAATCCCTTTCCGTTTCATTCCCACAACAACGCTAAAAAATTGATAAACGTGAGAAGTCTATGATAGTAAAAAAACCTAGCTGCACCCCATGTAAGACTACTAGCGATTGCTTCCTCTTTTTGTATTTAAAAATACGATCAGTAGTGACAGCCAGATGTCGAAGTCGACGCAAGCAAACCGCAGAAGAATAAACCAATGCTCGTTCCCACGCTCTGTAATTGTTTTATTCTTCCGCCTCTGTTCGCTCATCCAACAATTCGGTTTTACATCTGAGTTAGAATCCGAATGATAATAGAGACGGAAACATCAGAATTCTTATCAGACTCATGACTCCACACCCCTAGTGAAAACAATCCCAAGCACTAGTGCCACTACCCCAGTATCTTCCTATGGATATTTATGCATGAAAAGGCAGTCATGAATAGCTTATGAGTTTAAAGGAAAAGATTTCAATGTTATCAACAATGTGACATTAATATACTTTCTGTACATTCTACAGCCATCAGTTCTACCTCATCGATACTGAGCTACACCACTGTTTCAACTAGTGAGTCTCAAAGTGTTTCAACATCCAAAAGCTACAGTGCTTCGACTAGTGAGTCTCAAAGTGTTTCTCTATGCACGTGCTACAGTGCTTCAATCAGTTACTCTCCAAGCATTTCCACATCAACAAGCTACAGTACTTCAACCAGTGAGTCTCAAAGCGTTTCACCATCCACAAGCTACAGTGCCTCAGCCAGTTACTCTCAAAGTCTTTCTCTATGCAAGTGCTACAGTGCTTCAACCGGTGGGATCGTCGAGCCTCAAACAAGCCACAGTGCTTCAACCAGTGAGTCTCAAAGTGTTTCTCTATGCACGTGCTACAGCACTTCAACAAGTGAGTCTTCAAGCATTTCCACATCAAGAAGCTACAGTGCTTCAAGTAACTACTCTCCAAGCGTTTCATCATCCACAAGCTACAGTGCGTCAACGAGCGAGTCTCAAAGTCTTTCTCTATGCGCGTGCTACACTACGTCAAACAGTGAGCCTCAAAGCGTTTCGCCGTCCACACGCTACACTCCTTCAAACAGTTACTCTCAAAGCGTTTCACCATCTTTAAGCTACAGCGCCTCAACCAGCGAGTCCCCGAGCATTTCCACATCAACAAGCTACAGTCCTTCAAGCAGTTACTCTCAAAGCGTTTCACCATCCTCAAGCTACAGCGCCTCAACCAGCGAGTCCCCGAGCATTTCCACATCAACAAGCTACAGTCCTTCAAGCAGTTACTCTCAAAGCGTTTCACCATCCTCAAGCTACAGCGCCTCAACCAGCGAGTCCCCGAGCATTTCCACATCAACAAGCTACAGTCCTTCAAGCAGTTACTCTCAAAGCGTTTCACCATCCTCAAGCTACAGCGCCTCAACCAGCGAGTCCCCGAGCATTTCCACATCAGCAAGCTACAGTCCTTCAAGCAGTTACTCTCAAAGCGTTTCACCATCCTCAAGCTACAGTGCTTCAAGCGGCAAGTCCCCGAGCATTTCCACACCTCCAACAGTGACGTCGTCCTTGAGCTCAATTTCTCAGAGCCAAACGGTTAGCACATCCTTTCGGACAAGCCTGTCTACTAGCCTATCAAGACCGTTCAGTGAAAGTGCCTCCTTGTCGATAAGTCCATCGAAAAGCTCTTCTTTCTCCATTAGTATGTCTTCCTCTGTAGGTAAGTGGTTTATTGTTTTTTCATGGTTAAAATGCCACAGAATCTATGAGCTTCTGGGGAAATCAAGACGAGTTTTTTTACACCTGTGTCTTGGTCCATTATCGGCCATTTGCACTAAGAGCTCATGTGACATCGTTTTTTATGGAAATGAAAAATATAAGATTTTGCCTTCGCAAAAACATTAGTGGGTCATATCTTAAACAAAATAACAGTGATCTGGTATTTCAAACCGGCAACATTTTGTTAAAATGAGAAAGTTCGTAGCTGGTCACGTGACCAAAAGGTGATTTTTAAAAATAATTATGAATTACCCCTTTCTGAACGCAAATTTTGCACTTAAACTTCAAGAAAAATGTTGAAAAAAGATGTGGTAGTATTTACAGCACATCTTAGCGTAAACTATCAAACGTTTAACAAGATATAAGCAAAAAGTAGTTTTGGCCGCCATGTTGGAGGGCAAGAGTATGCCTTCCGAGATGGCGGCCAATACAAATCATATTACTTTGTTGAAAAGTCAGAGTGCCATAAAATATCTCCCTTAAATGCGTTTCCTCTCAAATTTCGGGAGTAAGATAATTTTTATGTGCTCTGTCAATTTTTGGCATCAGCAAGATTCCAACTCATTGTTTAAAGTAGGCATTGGTCACGTGATCTCTTAGTGCAAGTGGCCTATTCGAATAACACCAGGCGGAACAAGTTCTCCTTAGCAGAACTTATAGTTAATAAGCTTTAGCTCCGAACTACAATAAAATGGCGCGATTAACTTGTTAGAAATTCTGTTCTAAGAAAATTATATCTGACTGGATTGGCTAAAACATAGCGATGGAAATTTCTCTCATATACCGTACCTTTACCGTGTATGGAGCATGTTTTTTATTATTACTATTGTTATTTTTTATTTGTTTATTTTTTACCGAATATTTACTGAATACGCTGCAGTAGATAGACTGTCATGAGTTTTCCACTTGCAATTAATCTAACGGCCCTCCTCCGGCCACTATGAGCCTCATGGTATGAGCGACCGAAAGGTCATATTGTCTGTGCTTTTCAAATGTTGTTGATGATTTCATTGCAAAATTCTGTCGCTTTCGCCAAGAACTGCTCTAATAGTAAGTTTAAAAAATACCAAATCTCAGTATCCATATCAGTTTGCAAGATTTACGTGCATTTATCACCATTTTCCAAGTGTATTTGCGCTCACTGATAACACTGATTTCTGCGGGACAAGTTGCTCTCCATACCTTACAAATACAAATGTCCTGAACTCTTTTATAACTGGAACGGGCACTCTCTCTATATTTAAAAAATTCAAATCACACACCTCTGGCTTTCAAATTAAAAGTTCAGGCTACTTTCAGCATGTTCAGCTTAAACATTACATTTTCCCTCTTGCCGATATCACCAATACGAATTAGATGAAATTCCAATAGGATCTCAGCTACTGCCTTGGCTCTTTCATGTATTATTACAGACGCCATGTGAAGATATGGACACCTTATCTTCTAATGGTTTTTAAATCAGTGTTTCTCCTTAGACACTGATGACTGTTATCCAAACCCGTGTCTAAACAATGGGACTTGCATAGACGGAGTCAATGACTATAATTGCTCATGCGTTCCTGGCTTTGTAGGGAAGAACTGCTCCAGCAGTAAGTCTGATCAAACTAAATCTTACAATGTTTATCTGTCAAGATTTGCAAAAATGTACCTGCAGGGTTTTTATCTTATTTTAGGCTTGTTTACTCTTTTTAATTACCTTTTTTCTTTGCTAGAAATCCTCAAACAAGTTGTAGTAGACACAAAAGCATGCGCTAATAATATCTTTTACATCCTTACCCACCCCCTCCCCTCTCTTCTACCCCAACCACCTTTCCCCACCATCATTTCTCATATTTCTCTCCGTGTTATAAAACACTATTATTTGAAATCAGCGCGCGCGTTAGAAGTTGGCTTCGGTCATCGGTTAATTTCCTAGATTTTTTTTAGCCACCTAGAGCAAAGTTTTTCGCAAGGCATCATTAAGCCTTATGAGGGAACAAGTCTCATGATTGGCAAAGTCCGCCTCGTCCATTATCTTACCGCATTTCGCCTCATTTGGCTTTACGAAAGAAAGTTGGTTTACGCTCTGAGTCGCTTCGTTCAAACGAACGTAAAACATTTTTAATTACTCTTAAATTCCTTTAACACAAGCAAGGCACACAAGGAATATGTCAGGATGCGCAAACCGATACAACAGTTTATTACATCATGTAAGAGGTACTACTATAATTACAATATTGCGTAAAGACGCAAGCTTTTTTTCTACAATTCTCAATAAACTAAATAAGGAAAATGTTCAGGAAAAAACTGAAGTATATACTTACTGATGCATGCGCTGGATAATATTACAACCCTAAGTACTACAACCTACTCTCGAGGCATATCCTCAGGAGGTGTGAATGGGGTTAACGACTAGCGACAAAGGTCTGAAAATATTACTGACTACCGACAAAACGCGAAAAAAACTACCGACTACCGACATGGACCGACAATATCTAGTATATATATCTGTCTGATTTGGTTAAAACGTGGTCACTAGGTTTTTGCCTGGCGCCGGGCGCAGCCCGGCTCCAGGCCAGCCCGATGCCCACAAAAGTAGGGGACTTGACGTCTTGGTCGGTACAGCTGGATAGCCCAGGGACTGCCCTAACAGTGGGTGGGTGGATCAGGCCCTGGGGTCAAACCTGGTGGGGTAGGGAGGGGGCTGTTTTGACACAACCCCTTCAGTAAGTAGCAGTGTTCAGTGGAGGCATTGACTGGCGAATACCTTGGTCTTAATTTGCCCTAACCAGCTAAATCAGGCCTCTGCTGAGAATTATTATCATGATAATTGCAGAGCTCAGTGGGAGGTGCAGACAGTCACCCATTGTCCTGGGTGGCGAGGGTCAAAGTCTTGGTACAAAGGACACATTTAGCATAAGACCTTTACGCACTCAATGAAGCCATGTTTTCATAAATCCAGTCAGCGATATATATAAACTTTTTCTTTTTTTCAGAAAGAAGAGCATATTGTATTTTTTTTTTGTCTACATTTCCGGGAAGTAACCAGAGATACCACGTACTTTATCAATTTCATTGAGAAGACAAAGGAGAAAAACGAACATTACTTGTTTCCACGGACGTCACACGTCTTTTTACAAGTATACTACAAAACGAGGGTGTTGAAAGAGTTTGCAGAGCGTATGAAAATTTCTACAAAGCGACCCACCTATCAAACACATTACCTGCGAAAAATGCTTAGATTAATCCTTAAGGAAATTTTTTTCCAGTTTAATGGGAAGCTCCACCTACAAACCTACGGTACCGCGATGAGCACAAAAACAGCAGTTTTCCTTTGCCAACATTTTCATGACATAGATTGAAACACAAAGTCTAAGCAAAATCGTCTTTAATCCAAGCGTTTGGAAACGTTACATGGATGACATTTTTTCGCTGCAAGACATAAGTAAAAATCCTGACATCGTAGCTTTCTCCGAACCAGCAAACTTACATTACCAGACCATTAAATTCACCACCGAAATTCACTGAGACAGTGTTTTTAGACTCAGTTGAATACAAAGGCACAAGATTCAACGAAAAAGCTATCCTTGATGTAAAAACACATTTTAAACAAACAAAGGAGAAGCCTTTAGCCTTAAACAACGTTTGAGAAAAGTATTTCTAATTTCAAAAAAACGCTTGATGGATCTGAGAGGCTACCAACACAGTTTGGCACAAAAATTGCTATTAGAAATAAATAAAACTCACAGAAACAGGAAATCTTCGCTCCTGGAACAAAACAGCATGGAAGAAAAAGAAATGTTGCCTTTCGTGACACAATACCAGCCCTTGGCGTCTACTGTATAAGAAAAAAAGTTGAATCCTCATACAAAACCAACCACTACTTTGCCAAAATTTAAAGAACCACCTATTACTTCGTACGGAAAAGGAAAATCATGGCAAAGAGCTACCCCGCGAACAGAGGTTTCTCTCTTGCATGGCTTTTACTGTTCAAAAAGTCGTTCGCGTGGCTTATCTGTCAAGTCACGCGAACGACTTCGTAAACGCTAAAGCCTCTGTTCATTACTTTCTATACTGCCCAGTAATCAACGGAGAAACCAAGTTCGCATCAGTTGCAATAAAAGCTTTGGTGATTTTATCGGTACTATATAATATGAAGTTTAAGGTCAATCAAATGAAGCATTTTTTACAACTTTTTCACGTTTTATAGGGATCAGTCTTGAAATTAGTGAAATACACAGCAAATATTAAATTAACATTCATTTTTACTTATCAACTGAGATTTACCGACAACCGACAAAGATCGAAAATTTTAACTGACCTACTACCGAACTGTATAATAACCGACAACCGATAAGTGGAGCCCCACGCCCCCCCCCCCCGTTCAGACCCTCCCTCAGCGGAGTCGGATTTCCCTTGAATCTGCTCTGGACTTTAACATCACTTCTAAAACCTGATGAATGCTCGCCGAAGAAAACTGCTGAAACCCTAGCCATGATTTACTTGACAAATTTAAATTAAGAATAAAATTTAAACGATAAAAGAACAAGACAAATATCCGTTCTAGAGTACATCATTATATGGCCAGCGCCACTTTGATATTAATATTTAGGCCAGAGCCACGTGAAACAACAGCTGATTAGGCCCGCAGTGCCTATAAATAAGCAACTTGGCTTTCAGCCAGCACCATACGAATTAAACTAGGAGTAATCGGAGCTTAGGAGGGAGAGTGCGTTCGATATGTTTGTTAGTCGTCAGTACAGGTAGCAGTTGAGGGGGAAGGGTAAATGGTTATTGCTATAGATTAATTTGATCACAGCATATTTTAAACGTAAGGAGTGCTTACAGTGAAACCTCTAAAACTGTGTATCATCATGAAAAAGGCTAGTGATATCGTATGGTTCGTCTCAAGAAGTACAGTAATTTGGTCGATTGTGTTGATTTCAGTTACTTGAGTGGAGCTACACTGGTCTGTTTATAAGTTTTTCCGAATAAATAACATAGACCTAAAATGTTAGTTTGTTCGGTGCCAAAAATATTTCAAGTCATGATGAAGTGGTGCCGCCGAGCTTCACATCTCGGTAGATTTATTATACTTTGTGGCACAACGACCGCTGAAGCGTTTGCCGGAAAGATGTACGCTTTGAAAGATTCAGCAAACACAGATCGATAGTAGACCTTCAGCAAACTCTTGAAATATGTACGCTTTACGAAGTTTCAGCAAACTTTTAAAAGATAAACGCTTTACGAAGACAGAATGCAGACCGGCTCAGCAAACATTTGAAAGATGAACGCCGAGGACACACGAATCACCATGTGAGTTAGTGCGTCAAAGTGAGGCAAAACGTAAGCAAGCGCCTCAGAGCGAGGCAAATGTGTGTGGACACAAACGAAATCTCAAATTCTCGCTTATTAATAGCACAGAACACCCAACAGAAATTAGGGGTTGCGTTCTCGTACCTCGAACGCAATAACAGCTGGATGTAAAGGCCAGTGCCACATTTTTTTTCTTTTTTTGAATTTTTTGTTAAAGAATTTCTTACGTTTTCATACAAAATAGAAATTACGAAAAAAGAAAAAAAGAGAGAAAAAAGACACAAAGACACACACGCGCGCGCGCACACACGCACCCATATACACACTACCATATATAACAAAAGCTAGCCAGCGAAAACATCCGTCTCTCCTCGCTCTTCGCCAGTGGGGACGTTTCACGTGGAGGAACGTCTACGACTCAGCGACAGAAATTCCATACTGATGACGTAAAATCTGTCCGGAATCTGGTCAGAAGCGCTGATTGGTCGACGGAGTAGATACATAGTTCAGCTATTGTTTATGAATGACAGACAAAAGACAAAAGGCCACAAAGGCTAAATATAAACGCGAAGAACCTGTAACAAAACAGTCAATATTTGTGGAATATAGTTTTCTCAAGAAGAAGCATTAGAGTTTTGCTGGAGCTCGTTGGCAGATGAACACAACACTTTACCAAAAGCGACCAGAAGACACGTAAAATTGGACAAATTCATATTTGGAACTCCATGGCTACCGGATTTTTTATGTAAACATTGATTTGCGTCATCAGTATGGAATTTCTGTCGCTGAGTCGCAGACGTTCCTCCGAGCGAAACGTTCCCTGCTGCGAATAGCGAAGAGAAACGGAACTTTTCGCAGGCTAAACAAAAGCTCACTATCAATAAACCCATCCAGTTTAAAAACTGCATTAACAGCTCATTGCTGGGCCAGTGCCACAAGAATATAAGACTCATTATTCGGGGAAGGGTCACATAGATTAACCCTTCAATATTGTCTTGGTCAGAGCCGCGTAAATTAACTGCCCATTTGTGGTGCAGTACCACATAAACAAAACAGTGCATTAAGGAAAAATAAATCATAAAAATGAGTGGGGGGAGAGCAGAGACCAAGAGAGATGAATCAACTGAGTGGACCGCGAGCGTGAATGACTCTTAGAGAACAGTAGGGCGTGTATATACTAAAAGAGACCAATCAGAATGGTCTTTAATCAGGATACACAATAGTGGGTGCGGCAGGTGTGAAACAGAAAACAAGTAGGGATAATTACTTGGAATAAGAGTGAAAAATGCATTCTAGGAGTCAAAGAGAGCAAAGTTGATGCTGATTTCTGACCAGACCAGAGACTAAGTTAGAAAATCGTTTTAAAGGCGAGCCCTTCATCTGCACTTTTTAAAAACGCTGTGGTACATCCAGGATCTCGAATAAATCGACTGCATGAGAAACGTTTACGTGTGTTTCATGTGGAGAAGGCGAGAGTTTTCCTGAGTCATTTGACGATATTTTTGCCCGTGTAGAATTTGGGAATATTACGATTGTTTTTCTGAGGTAGTTACCATTGCCGCGAAAGCTAAGTGATATCTTGTGTGATTTGCCGAAGGCGTTGACAGACAAAACTCAGGTATGTGGTTGAGCTCGTGTTAGTAGAATACTTTGGCGAAGCATAGAAATGCTTCAAGACTGTTTAGTTTAGATGATTTTGTCTTAGAAAACCAATTCAGAGCTCAAAGAGGGTGGATCACTAGGTCTGTCTCGTCGGGCATCTTGCTATGAGCGACTGAAAGGTCATATTTTCTGTGCTTTACAAATGTTGTTAATGATTTCATTGCAAAATTCTGTCGCTTTCGCCAAGAGCAATTTTCCGCGTGTTTCTAGCAATAAAGTTGTGGTTTGAAGCCCTAACTTGAGACTTTCATCTACTTTTCATTCGCCTCAAGGATCAAATCATTAAAAGGTACTTGCAATTTCGGGCCATAAATTACAGGTATGAAGTTTCCTTACCTCTTTTTTAACTTAAAAAGGACCATCCCTCTATACATATGCCTTGGACATTACTAATTTGCCAAGATCCAAGATTGGTTTCAAAAGAATTTCACTTCTGGAGTGCCAATGTGGAAAAAACTGATTCCCGTCAACTCAAGCGTAATGTGAATCTTGTATAATTATGTTTTCCTTGCAGATATGGATATTTTATTGTCGCCAATCCTTACCATGTCCTTCTCTCCTCAGACACTGATGACTGTTATCCAAACCCGTGTCTAAACTATGGGACTTGCATAAACGGAGTCAATGACTACAACTGCACATGCCTGCCTGATTTTGAAGGGAAGAACTGTGACAGTAAGTTTAAAAATATCAAACCTCAATATCTATATCGGTTTGTAAGATTTACGTGCACTTATCACCTTAATGGTTTTCAAATCTCTGTTTCTCCTTAGACATTAATCACTGTTATCCAAACCCGTGTCTAAACAATGGGACTTGCATAAACGGACTCAATGACTACAACTGCACATGCGTGGCTGGTTTTGTAGGGAAGAACTGTAACTGTAAGTTTAAAAATATCAAACCTCAATATCTATATCGGTTTGTAAGATTTACGTGCACTTATCACCTTAATGGTTTTCAAATCTCTGTTTCTCCTGAGACACTGATGACTGTTATCCAAACCCGTGTCTTAACGGTGGAACATGCATTGACGGAGTGAATGACTACAATTGCTTATGCGTCCCTCTCTTTGTAGGGAAGAACTGCTCCAGCTTTAAGTCTTTTCAAACTAAATCTTTCAATATACATTTGTCGGAATTTGCAAAAAGATACCTGCAGGATTTTTTTTTCCAACATCCTGATTTTAATTTTCCCAACATTTTGACTTAATTTTCTAGATTTCTTCTTAGCTACCTGGAGCAAACTTTTCCGGAAGGAATCATTAAGCGTTATATTACGAAGTAACAAGTCTCACTATTGGCAAAGTCGTCCTCGTCCAATATCTTACCGCATTTCGCTTCATTTGGTTATACGGGTGAAACACTGATCTCGGGCTCGAGACGGAAAGGTATCGATATTGAGAGCTTTGTTCCGGGTGGCCTCTGCAGAAAGTAGGTTCTAGGAGTCAAGTATATTCGGAGAGAGAAAAGTTGAGCTGATTTCTCACCAGGCCAGAGACTTAGTTACAAACTGTTTTATAGGCGGCCCCTTCATCTGTCCTTTTTAAAAACCTGGAGTACTATGATCCGAGATCTCGTAAAAATCGACTGTGTGAGTGTTTACGTGTGTTTTATGTTGAGAACATTAACGTGAGAGCTTTTCTGAGTCATTTGACGAAAATATTACGACGGAATATTATCAGTGTTTTTCAAGGGTGTTATCATTGCTCCGAAAGCTAAGTGATTTATTGTGTGATTTGCCGAAGGCGTTGACAGACAAAACTTAGGTATGTGGTTGCTTTGTGCCAAGCATTTAATACAACAGTTAGTGATCGATTCGCGAGTCTTTAGTTTAGGTGATTTTGTCTTAGAAAGACTATTCTGTGCTCAAAGATTGTAATTGCCGCGAAGGCCATTTATTGTGATTTACCGATAGCGTTGACAGACAAAACTCAGGTAAAAAATCTGGTTGAGCTCGTGTTACCAGAAGACTTTGTGCCAAGCATAAAAACGCTTCGTGAGTGTTTAGTTTTGCTAATTTTGTCTTAGAAAGACTATTCTGTGCTCAAAGATCGTGAATTCTTATTCTGTTTTAGGCAGACACTTAGCTCTCTCTGCTCAATTTTTGGCATCAGCAAGATTCCAACTCATTGTTTAAAGGAAGCATTGGTCACGTGACCTCTTAGTGCGAGGGTCCTATTCGAATAACACCAGGCGGAACAAGTTCTCCTTAGCAGAACCTCTATTTAATGAGCTATCCGAACTACAATAAAATGGCGCGATTAACTTGTTAGAACTTCTGTTCTAAGATAATTATATCTGACTGGATTAGCTAAAACATGGCCATAGAAATTTATCTCATATACCGTACCTTTACTGAGCATGGAGCATGGAGCATGTTTTTTATCATTACTATTGTTATTTTTTATTTTTTTATTTTTTAACGAATATTTACTAAATACGCTGCAGTAGATAGACTGTCATGAGTTTCTTCTCACTTGCTATTAATCTAACAGCCCCCCTCCGGCCACTATGAGCCTCATGGTATGAGCTATATTTACTGTGCTTTTCAAATGTTGTTAATGATTTCATTGCAAAATTGTGTCGCTTTCGCCAAGAACTGCTCTAGTAGTAAGTTTTATAAATACCAAATCTCAGTATCCATATCAGACATATCACTTTGCAATATTTACATGCATTTATCACCATTTTCCAAGTGTATTTGCGCTCACTGATAACATTAATTTCTGCGGGACAAAAAGTTGCTCTCAATACCTTACAAATCATTTTTCAACGTCCCGAGCTCTTACATAACTGGAACGGGCACTCTCTCTATGAATATTTAAAAAATTCAATTCACACACCTCTGCATTTCAAATTAAAACTTCGGGCTACTTTCAGCATGTTCAGCTTAAACATTACATTTTCCCTCTTGCCGATATGACCGATATGATTTAGATGAAATTCCAAAAGAATCTCAGCTACTGCCTTGGCTCTTTCATGTATTATTACGGACGCTATGTGAAGATATGGACAACTTATCTTCTAATGGTTTTCAAATCTCTCTTTCTCCTTAGACACTGACGACTGTTATCCAAACCCGTGTCTTAACAATGGAACATGCATTGACGGAGTGAATGACTACAATTGCTCGTGTGTGCCTGGCTTTGTAGGGAAGAACTGCTCCAACAGTAAGTCTGATCAAACTAAATCTTACAATGTACATCTGTCAGGATTTGCAAAAATGTACCTGCAGGGTTTTTATCTATTTATTTATTTAGGCTTGTTTTCTGTTTTAAATAACCTTTTTTCTTTGCCAGAAATCCTCAAACAAGTTGTAGTAGACAAAAGCATGTGCTAATAATATCTTTTACATCCTTACCCACCCCCTCCCCTTTCTTCTACCCCAACCACCTCTCCCCGCGATCATTTCTCATATTTCTCTCCGTGTTATAAAACACTATTAGTGAGCTTAAGATCCGACGACGGCGAGATTCTACGACGGCAGACTTGGTCGAGGGAGCTTGGGGTGAGGTCGCCGTCGCAATGACGCGAAAAATAGCATTAAGAAAGCTCGTGCGACGGCGGGTTGTTGTAGCTCCTTTTCCTGTTGAAGTTTAGAAATAAATACAAGAGTGATGACTACTTTTAGAAAGGTTCGTGAAATGTTACTGACGAGTTTCGATGATGGCGACATTTCAGAAGATGAATTTTTACTGTTGTATGATGTCAACAGATCTAAAAATCCGGATTTTCCCTACCAGAATTACGAACATTTTGACCTCGAGAGGCTTGACGAAAAGATGAGTGACATAATCCATTGGACCTCAATTTAATGCCAAAACAAGTCTACGATATCATAATTATTAATAAACAGATCAATAAACACAAGAAAAAACTTGTAAAACTTACTGAGTTGCTTTCTTTGTCGAGTTGACCGAGTCCATGGCTATTAACGAGTCAAACTGTTTAGAGAGGGCAAACAAATTTAATTTAAATACCGTGTTCAAATCGTTTAAGTCGCTTAGAAATTCTACAAAGATGGTCTACTGAGAATAAACTGTTAACAGCGCTAAAGAATTTCGCTCACAATGTGTTTAAATGGCATTATTTTGATCACGTTTACTCACGTTTTACATGCCAGGGCAAAATGGCCTTCTTCACGTCACAGACAAGGCCGCTACGGCGGGAAACTTCGCAACGACGGCAGCCGGAAGTCTTTCTAGCAGTAATTTCACTTCCGCTCGCCGTCACAGACGTCTGCCGTTGTCGGATCTTAAGCAGGCTACTATTTGAAATCAGCGCGCGCGTTAGAAGTTGGCTTCGGTGATCGGTTAATTTCCTAGATTTTTTTTTAGCCACCTAGAGCAAAGTTTTTCGGAAGGCATCATTAAGCCTTATGAAGGAACAAGTCTCATGATTGGCAAAGTCCGCCTCGTCCATTATCTTACCGCATTTCGCCTCATTTGACTTAACGAAAGAAAGTTGGTTTACCTTCTGAGTCGCTTCGTTCAAACGAACGTAAAACATCACAAGTTGACACAAAACTCTGTCAGCTTCAGCTGTCAAAGTAAACAAACATTTTTAATTACTCTTAAATTCCTTTAACACAAGCAAGGCACACAAGGAATATGCCAGGATGCGCAAACCGATGCAACAGTTTATTACATCATGTAAGAGGTACTACTATGATTACAATATTGCGTAAAGACGCAAGCATTTTTTCTACAATTCTCAATAAACTAAATAAGGAAAATGTTCAGAAAAAAACTGAAGTATATATTTACTGGTACATGCGCTGGATAATATTACAACCCTAAGTACTACAACCTACTCTCGAGGCATATCCTCAGGAGGTGTGAATGGGGTTAACGACTAGCGACAAAGGTCTGAAAATATTACTGACTACCGACAAAACGCGAAAAAAACTACCGACTACCGACATGGACCGACAATTTCTAGTATATATATCTGTCTGATTTGGTTAAAACATGGTCACTAGGTTTTTGCCTGGCGCCGAGCGCAGCCCGGCTCCAGGCCAGCCCGATGTCCACAAAAGTAGGGGGCTTGACGTCTTAGTCGGTACAGCTGGATAGCCCAGGGACTGCCCTAACAGTGGGTGGGTGGATCAGGCCCAGGGGTCAAAACTACTGGGGTCGGGAGGGGGCTGTTTTGACACAACCCCTTCAGTAAGTAGCAGTGTTCAGTGGAGGCATTGACTGGCGAATACCTTGGTCTTAATTTGCCCTAGCCAGCTGAATCAGGCCTCTGTTGAGAATGATTATCATGATAATTGCAGAGCTCAGTGGGAGGTGCAGACAGTCACCCATTGTCCTGGGTGGCGAGGGTCAAAGTCTTGGTACAAAGGACACATTTAGCATAGGACCTTTACACACTCACTGAAGCCATGTTTTCATAAATCCAGTCAGCGATATATATAAACTTTTTTTTTTTTTCAGAAAGAAGAGCATATTGTATTTTTTTTTTGTCTACATTTCCTGGAAGTAGCCAAAGATACCACGTACTTTATGAATTTCATTGAGAAGACAAAGGAGAAAAACGAACATTACTTGTTTCCATGGACGTCACACGTCTTTTTACAAGTATACTACAAAACGAGGGTGTTGAAAAAGTTTGCAGAGCGTATGAAAATTTCTACAAAGCGACCCACCTATTCAAACACATTACCTGCGAGAAATGCTTACATTAATCCTCAAGGAAATTTTTTTCCAGTTTAATGGGAAGCTCCACCTACAAACCCACGGTACCGCGATGAGCACAAAGACAGCAGTTTTCCTTTGCCAACATTTTCATGACATAGATTGAAACACAAAGTCTAAGCAAAATCGTCTTTAATCCAACCGTTTGGAAACGTTACATGGATGACATTTTTTTCGCTGCAAGACATAAGTAAAAATCCTGACATCGTAGCTTTCTCCGAACCAGCAAACTTACATTACCAGACCATTAAATTCACCACCGAAATTCCCTGAGACAGTGTTTTTAGACTCAGTTGAATACAAAGGCACAAGATTCAACGAAAAAGCTATCCTTGATGTAAAAACACATTTTAAACAAACAAAGGAGAAGCCTTTAGCCTTAAACAACGTTTGAGAAAAGTATTTCTAATTTCAAAAAAACGCTTGATGGATCTGAGAGGCTACCAACACAGTTTGGCACAAAAATTGCTATTAGAAATAAATAAAACTCACAGAAACAGGAAATCTTCGCTCCTGAAACAAAACAGCAAGGAAGAAAAAGAAATGTTGCCTTTCGTGACACAATACCAGCCCTTGGCGTCTACTGTATAAAAAAAAAGTTGAATCCTCATACAAAACCAACCACTACTTTGCCAAAATTTAAAGAACCACCTATTACTTCGTACGGAAAAGGAAAATCATGGCAAAGAGCTACCCCGCGAACAGAGGTTCCTCTCTTGCATGGCTTTTACTGTTCACAAAGTCGTTCGCGTGGCTTATCTGTCAAGTCACGCGAACGACTTCGTAAACGCTAAAGCCTCTGTTCATTACTTTCTATACTGCCCAGTAATCAATAGACTGCAAAACAGTCCGTTTTTTTCTCAAAATCAGTAAAGAAATCGGTAAAGCGTGGCATAAGAGTCTTACGCGCGCGAAGTGCGCGAGCCTCACACGCCCGTAGGGCGTGTGAGGCGAGAGAAAAAAAACCGACTGTCCGTTTTCCATACAATGAGTTCGTTCGAACCAGGGGGTTCAAAAATGTCGTCGAGCTGTCAAAAATCTGTTCGCAACTCCGCCCTCCTTGTGAGACTCGCGTGTTACTATTGACGCTGTAATCCAGTAATTCCAAAGCAGTTTTCAGCGTTGCTTCCCTGTGAAATGTAGTGTATATAGTGAAATGTAGTATATATAGTGGAGGATCAAAAATGAGTGAAAGTGGCAGTACGACAACAAAGCCTGTGCCTGCTCCTCGAAGAGGGAGAAAGCCGAAAGAGCCGAGGGCTTTGGACAAATTGTAGAATGTGCGGCTGTTGTTTCAAAACACAGTTCGGCAATTTTACGAATGGATGGATAAGCTCGGAAAATGCGTTTGTTGCGCCTGCCAGAAAAGGGGAACGTTACCAAAGTAGGCCGACCTACTGAAAAACGAACTTTTCGTTGTCCTCGAGGAAGGAGAATCTTTCTCCACAAGAGCAGTTTGCTCTCCGTGCGGAACAACGGTTAGAAACTGCCCCGGGAAACTGCACGGCGATGCTTTCAAAATTAGAGAAGAACTGAACACGCCAACTGACAATGAACAATTATTGCGATTGAAAAGAATGAGTAAATCCCCTCATTCCAAACCACGTCTTGGTGATTTAGCTCTGTAAATTACTATCTGTGAGAATTTAAAATCCTGCCAAAAACGCTAACGAGCTGGGCCCAGCGTGACAAAACATTGCAGGAAAAAGTCACATTCACGGACACAAAGAAAATCGCTTAAAATTATTCAAATCCAGGAGGCACTTTGGAGAAATAAAACAACCTAAAACCCTTAATCAGCCGCAATGAAAAACTTTACATTTCGAAAGGGGCCAACGCTTTTGCGTCAGAGGGCAAATCATGCCTACGAGAGAAAATCAATATGCGTGTTATGACCTCTCAGTATGAAATATATTTAATACGCCGCCAAAATTCACATTTGCTCAGTCAAAACGTTTTCCTCCAAAGCATAATCTACTCGACAGAGAAAACAATTCATTGAAACAAGCGGCATGTTTGCATGAGGTAAAAGTCGTGTGTTTCCTACCGATCCCGCTTTTTTAGCCAGGCGAGATAACAATGACGGTCGGCCGTTGCACGGAACTTGAAGAACTCTTTGCATGAACAAACATCCGATAAATAAGGCTTTTGTCAAATCCTGTTGGTAGAACACAGAAAACATCCTTTCCCCTGAGTAGCAACTCCAAAGCCTTCCTCTGCTCCGATTTTAAAACAAATCCCAATTCTTGCGAGCAAATTCAGGCGATCAACATCTGTCATTTTACAGCGAAAGCTTTAGCAATTCATCACGGTATGGAACAACGTGAATGACATGTTGAAAACATTACTTGACAGCTTGGTGACAGCTTGCATCAAAATTTAGCCAATGGGAATTGCCCGTGGCTGGGAGAAGCGGATAATTCGAACGAATATAACGTATGCAAAACGGACAGTCCGTATTTTTAGCGTCTCTCCCGAGTCTCGCTCTCTGTTTTCAGCCTCATTCCAGACCTTTTGTTTGACTGCTCGTGCGTACTTGAATACGCAAAAATACGGACTGTTTTGCAGTCTAAGTAATCAACGGAGAAACCAAGTTCGCATCATTTGCAATAAAAGCTTTGGTGATTTTATCGGTACTATATAATATGAAGTTTAAGGTCAATCAAATGAAGCATTTTTTACAACTTTTTCACGTTTTATAGGGATCAGTCTTGAAATGAGTGAAATACACAGCAAATATTAAATTAACATTCATTTTTACTTATTAACTGAGATTTACCGACAACCGACAAAGATCGAAAATTTTAACTGACCTACTACCGAACTGTATAATAACCGACAACCGATAAGTGGCTTCACATCTCGGTAGATTTATTATACTTTGTGGCACAACGACCGCTGAAACGTTTGCCGGAAAGATGTACGCTTTGAAAGATTCAGCAAACACAGATCGATAGTAGACCTTCAGCAGACTCTTGAAATATGTACGCTTTACGAAGTTTCAGCAAACTTTTAAAAGATAAACGCTTTACGAAGACAGAATGCAGACCGGCTCAGCAAACATTTGAAAGATGAACGCCGAGGACACGCGAATCACCATGTGAGTTAGTGCGTCAAAGTGAGGCAAAACGTAAGCAAGCGCCTCAGAGCGAGGCAAATGTGTGTGGACACAAACGAAATCTCAAATTCTCGCTTATTAATAGCACAGAACACCCAACAGAAATTAGGGGATGCGTTCTCAATAACAGCTGGATGTAAAGGCCAGTGCCACATTTTTTTTTTTTTTTTTTTTAATTTTTTGTTAAAAAATTTCTTACGTTTTCATACAAAATAGAAATTACAAAAAAAGAAAAAAAGAGAGAAAAAAGACACAAAGACACACACGCGCGCGCGCACACGCACCCATATACACACTACCATATATAACAAAAGCTAGCCAGCGAAAACATCCGTCTCTCCTCGCTCTTCGCCAGTGGGGACGTTTCACGTGGAGGAACGTCTACGACTCAGCGACAGAAATTCCATACTGATGACGTAAAATCTGTCCGGAATCTGGTCAGAAGCGCTGATTGGTCGACGGAGTAGATACATAGTTCAGCTATTGTTTATGAATGACAGACAAAAGACAAAAGGCCACAAAAGTTAAATATAAACGCGAAGAACCTGTAACAAAACAGTCAGTATTTGTGGAATATAGTTTTCTCGAGAAGAAGCATTAGAGTTTTGCTGGAGCTCGTTGGCAGATGAACACAACACTTTACCAAAACCGACCAGAAGACACGTAAAATTGGACAAATTCATATTTGGAACCCCATGGCTACCGGATTTTTTATGTAAACATTGATTTGCGTCATCAGTATGGAATTTCTGTCGCTGAGTCGCAGACGTTCCTCCAAGCGAAACGTCCCCTGCAGCGAATAGCGAAGAGAAACGGAAGTTTTCGCAGGCTAAACAAAAGCTCACTATCAATAAACCCATCCAGTTTAAAAACTGCATTAACAGCTCATTGCTGGGCCAGTGCCACAAGAATATAAGACTCATTATTCGGGAAAGGGCCACATAGATTAACCCTTCAATATTGTCTTGGTCAGAGCCGCGTAAATTAACTGTCCATTTGTGGTACAGTACCACATAAACAAAACAGTGCATTAAGGAAAAATAAATCATAAAAATGAGTGGGGGGAGAGCAGAGACCAAGAGAGATGAATAAACTGAGTGGACCGCGAGCGTGAATGACTCTTAGAGAACAGTAGGGCGTGTATATACTAAAAGAGACCAATCAGAATGGTCTTTAATCAGGATACACAATAGTGGGTGCGGCAGGTGTGAAACAGAAAACAAGTAGGGATAATTACTTGGAATAAGAGTGAAAAATGCATTCTAGGAGTCAAGTTTATTCGGAGAGAGCAAAGTTGATGCTGATTTCTGACCAGACCAGAGACTAAGTTAGAAAATCGTTTTAAAGGCGGGCCCTTCATCTGCACTTTTTAAAAACGCTGTGGTACATCCAGGATCTCGAATAAATCGACTGCATGAGAATCGTTTACGTGTGTTTTATGTGGAGAAGGCGAGAGTTTTCCTGAGTCATTTGACGATATTTTTGCCCGTGTAGAATTTGGGAATATTACGATTGTTTTTCTGAGGTAGTTACCATTGCCGCGAAAGCTAAGTGATATCTTGTGTGATTTGCCGAAGGCGTTGACAGACAAAACTCAGGTATGTGGTTGAGCTCGTGTTAGTAGAATACTTTGGCGAAGCATAGAAATGCTTCAAGACTGTTTAGTTTAGATGATTTTGTCTTAGAAAACCAATTCAGAGCTCAAAGAGGGTGGATCACTAAGTCTGTCTCGTCGGGCATCTTGCTATGAGCGACTGAAAGGTCATATTTTCTGTGCTTTACAAATGTTGTTAATGATTTCATTGCAAAATTCTGTCGCTTTCGCCAAGAGCAATTTTCCGCGTGTTTCTAGCAATAAAGTTGTGGTTTGAAGCCCTAACTTAAGACTTTCATCTACTTTTCATTCGCCTCAAGGATCAAATCATTAAAAGGTACTTGCAATTTCGGGCCATAAATTACAGGTATGAAGTTTCCTTACCTCTTTTTTAACTTAAAAAGGACCATCCCTCTATACATATGCCTTGGACATTACTAATTTGCCAAGATCCAAGATTGGTTTCAAAAGAATTTCACTTCTGGAGTGCCAATGTGGAAAAAACTGATTCCCGTCAACTCAAGCGTAATGTGAATCTTGTATAATTATGTTTTCCTTGCAGATATGGATATTTTATTGTCGTCAATCCTTACCATGTCCTTCTCTCCTCAGACACTGATGACTGTTATCCAAACCCGTGTCTAAACTATGGGACTTGCATAGACAGAGTCAATGACTACGAGTGCACATGCGAGCCTCGTTTTGTAGGGAAGAACTGTGGCTGTAAGTTTAAAAATATCAAACCTCAATATCTATATCGGTTTGTAAGATTTACGTGCACTTATCACCTTAATGGTTTTCAAATCTCTGTTTCTCCTTAAACATTGATCGCTGTTATTCAAACCCGTGTCTAAACGATGAGACTTGCATAAACGGAGTCAATGACTACAACTGCACATGCGTGCCTGGTTTTGTAGGGAAGAACTGTGACTGTAAGTTTAAAAATATCAAAACTCAATATCTATATCGGTTTGTAAGATTTACGTGCACTTATCACCTTAATGGTTTTCAAATCTCTGTTTCTCCTTAGACATTAATCACTGTTATCCAAACCCGTGTCTAAACAATGGGACTTGCATAAACGGAGACAATGACTACAACTGCACATGCGTGCCTGGTTTTGTAGGGAAGAACTGCTCTAATAGTAAGTTTAAAAATATCACTGAATCTCAGTATCCATATCAGTTTGTAAGATTTACGTGCATTTATCACCTTAATGGTTTTCAAATCTCTGTTTCTTCTTAGACACTGACGACTGTTATCCAAACCCGTGTCTTAACGGTGGAACATGCATTGACGGAGTGAATGACTACAATTGCTCATGCGTTCCTGGCTTTGTAGGGAAGAACTGCTCCAACAGTAAGTCTGATCAAACTAAATCTTTCAATATACATTCGTCGGAATTTGCAAAAAGATACCCGCAGGATTTTTTTCCAACATCCTGATTTTAATTTTCCCAACATTCTGACTTAATTTTCCAGATTTCTTCTTAGCTACCTGGAGCAAAGTTTTCCGGAAGGCATCATTAAGCGTTATATTATGAAGTAACAAGTGTCACGATTGGCAAAGTCGTCCTTGTCCAATATCTTACTGTATTTCGCTTCATTTGGTTATACGGGTGAAACACTGATCTCGGACTCGAGACGGAAAGGTATCGATATTGAGAGCTTTGTTCCGGGTGGCCTCTGCAGAAAGTAGGTTCTAGGAGTCAAGTCTATTCGGAGAGAGAAACGTTGAGCTGATTTCTCACCAGGCCAGAGACTTAGTTACAAACTGTTTTATAGGCGGCCCCTTCATCTGTCCTTTTTAAAAACCTGGAGTACTATGATCCGAGATCTCGTAAAAATCGACTGTGTGAGTGTTTACGTGTGTTTTATGTTGAGAACATTAACGTGAGAGCTTTTCTGAGTCATTTGACGAAAATATTACGACGGAATATTATCAGTGTTTTTCAAGGGTGTTATCATTGCTCCGAAAGCTAAGTGATTTATTGTGTGATTTGCCGAAGGCGTTGACAGACAAAACTCAGGTATGTGGTTGCTTTGTGCCAAGCATTTAATACAACACTTAGTGATCGATTCGCGAGTCTTTAGTTTAGGTGATTTTGTCTTAGAAAGACTATTCTGTGCTCAAAGATTGTAATTGCCGCGAAGGCCATTTATTGTGATTTACCGATAGCGTTGACAGACAAAACTCGGGTAAAAAATCTGGTTGAGCTCGTGTTACCAGAAGACTTTGTGCCAAGCATAAAAACGCTTCGTGAGTGTTTAGTTTTGCTAATTTTGTCTTAGAAAGACTATTCTGTGCTCAAAGATCGTGGATTCTTAATCTGTTTTCGGCAGACACTTAGCTCTCTCTGCTCAATTTTTGGCATCAGCAAGATTCCAACTCATTGTTTAAAGGAAGCATTGGTCACGTGACCTCTTAGTGCGAGGGTCCTATTCGAATAACACCAGGCGGAACAAGTTCTCCTTAGCAGAACCTCTATTTAATGAGCTATCCGAACTACAATAAAATGGCGCGATTAACTTGTTAGAACTTCTGTTCTAAGATAATTATATCTGACTGGATTAGCTAAAACATGGCCATAGAAATTTCTCTCATATACCGTACCTTTACTGAGCATGGAGCATGGAACATGTTTTTATCATTACTATTGTTATTTTTTATTTTTTTATTTTTTAACGAATATTTACTGAATACGCTGCAGCAGATACACTGTCATGAGTTTCTTCTCACTTGCTATTAATCTAACAGCCCCCCTCCGGCCACTATGAGCCTCATGGTATGAGCTACTGAATGGTCAGATATTTACTGTGCTTTTCAAATGTTGTTAATGATTTCATTGCAAAATTGTGTCGCTTTCGCCAAGAACTGCTCTAGTAGTAAGTTTTAAAAATACCAAATCTCAGTATCCATATCACTTTGCAATATTTACATGCATTTATCACCATTTTCCAAGTGTATTTGCGCTCACTGATAACATTGATTTCTGCGGGACAAAAAGTTGCTCTCAATACCTTACAAATCATTTTTCAACGTCCCGAACTCTTTCATAACTGGAACGGGCACTCTCTCTATGAATATTTAAAAAATTCAATTCACACACCTCTGCATTTCAAATGAAAACTTCGGGTTACTTTCAGCATGTTCAGCTTAAACATTACATTTTCCCTCTTGCCGATATGACCGATATGATTTAGATGAAATTCCAAAAGAATCTCAGCTACTGCCTTGGCTCTTTCATGTATTATTACAGACGCTATGTGAAGATATGGACAACTTATCTTCTAATGGTTTTCAAATCTCTCTTTCTCCTTAGACACTGACGACTGTTATCCAAACCCGTGTCTTAACAATGGAACATGCATTGACGGAGTGAATGACTACAATTGCTCGTGTGTGCCTGGCTTTGTAGGGAAGAACTGCTCCAACAGTAAGTCTGATCAAACTAAATCTTACAATGTACATCTGTCAGGATTTGCAAAAATGTACCTGCAGGGTTTTTATCTATTTATTTATTTAGGCTTGTTTTCTGTTTTAAATAACCTTTTTCTTTTGCCAGAAATCCTCAAACAAGTTGTAGTAGACAAAAGCATGTGCTAATAATATCTTTTACATCCTTACCCACCCCCTCCCCTTTCTTCTACCCCAACCACCTCTCCCCGCGATCATTTCTCATATTTCTCTCCGTGTTATAAAACACTATTAGTGAGCTTAAGATCCGACGACGGCGAGATTCTACGACGGCAGACTTGGTCGAGGGAGCTTGGGGTGAGGTCGCCGTCGCAATGACGCGAAAAATAGCATTAAGAAAGCTCGTGCGACGGCGGGTTGTTGTAGCTCCTTTTCCTGTTGAAGTTTAGAAATAAATACAAGAGTGATGACTACTTTTAGAAAGGTTCGTGAAATGTTACTGACGAGTTTCGATGATGGCGACATTTCAGAAGATGAATTTTTACTGTTGTATGATGTCAACAGATCTAAAAATCCGGATTTTCCCTACCAGAATTACGAACATTTTGACCTCGAGAGGCTTGACGAAAAGATGAGTGACATAATCCATTGGACCTCAATTTAATGCCAAAACAAGTCTACGATATCATAATTATTAATAAACACATCAATAAACACAAGAAAAAACTTGTAAAACTTACTGAGTTGCTTTCTTTGTCGAGTTGACCGAGTCCATGGCTATTAACGAGTCAAACTGTTCAAATCGTTTAAGTCGCTTAGAAATTCTACAAAGATGGTCTACTGAGAATAAACTGTTAGCAGCGCTAAAGAATTTCGCTCACAATGTGTTTAAAAGGCATTATTTTGATCACGTTTACTCACGTTTTACATGCGAGGGCAAAATGGCCTTCTTCACGTCACAGACAAGGCCGCTACGGCGGGAAACTTCGCAACGACGGCAGCCGGAAGTCTTTCTAGCAGTAATTTCACTTCCGCTCGCCGTCACAGACGTCTGCCGTTGTCGGATCTTAAGCAGGCTACTATTTGAAATCAGCGCGCGCGTTAGAAGTTGGCTTCGGTGATCGGTTAATTTCCTAGATTTTTTTTTAGCCACCTAGAGCAAAGTTTTTCGGAAGGCATCATTAAGCCTTATGAAGGAACAAGTCTCATGATTGGCAAAGTCCGCCTCGTCCATTATCTTACCGCATTTCGCCTCATTTGACTTTACGAAAGAAAGTTGGTTTACCTTCTGAGTCGCTTCGTTCAAACGAACGTAAAACATCACAAGTTGACACAAAACTCTGTCAGCTTCAGCTGTGAAAGTAAACAAACATTTTTAATTACTCTTAAATTCCTTTAACACAAGCAAGGCACACAAGGAATATGCCAGGATGCGCAAACCGATGCAACAGTTTATTACATCATGTAAGAGGTACTACTATGATTACAATATTGCGTAAAGACGCAAGCATTTTTTCTACAATTCTCAATAAACTAAATAAGGAAAATGTTCAGAAAAAAACTGAAGTATATATTTACTGGTACATGCGCTGGATAATATTACAACCCTAAGTACTACAACCTACTCTCGAGGCATATCCTCAGGGGGTGTGAATGGGGTTAACGACTAGCGACAAAGGTCTGAAAATATTACTGACTACCGACAAAACGCGAAAAAAACTACCGACTACCGACATGGACCGACAATGTCTAGTATATATATCTGTCTGATTTGGTTAAAACATGGTCACTAGGTTTTTGCCTGGCGCCGGGCGCAGCCCGACTCCAGGCCAGCCCGGTGTCCACAAAAGTAGGGGGCTTGACGACTTAGTCGGTACAGCTGGATAGCCCAGGGACTGCCCTAACAGTGGGTGGGTGGATCAGGCCCTGGGGTCAAAACTAGTGGGGTCGGGAGGGGGCTGTTTTGACACAACCCCTTCAGTAAGTAGCAGTGTTCAGTGGAGGCATTGACTGGCGAATACCTTGGTCTTAATTTGCCCTAGCCAGCTGAATCAGGCCTCTGCTGAGAATGATTATCATGATAATTGCAGAGCTCAGTGGGAGGTGCAGACAGTCACTCATTGTCCTGGGTGGGGAGGGTCAAAGTCTTGGTACCAAGGACACACTTAGCATAGGACCTGTACACACTCACTGAAGCCATGTTTTCATAAATCCAGTCAGCGATATATATAAACTTTTTTTTTTTTCAGAAAGAAGAGCATATTGTATTTTTTTATCTCTACGTTTGCAGGAAGTAACCAAAGATACCACGTACTTATGAATTTCACTGAGAAGACAAAGGACAAAAACCGAACATTTCTTGTTTCCATGAACGTCACACGTCTTTTTACAAGTATACTACTACAAAACGAGGGTATTGAAAAAGTTTGCAGAGCGTATGAAAATTTCTACAAAGCGACCCACCTATTCAAACACATTACCTGCGAGAAATGCTTACATTAATCCTCAAAGAAAATTTTTTTCCAGTTTAATGGGAAGCTCCACCTACAAACCCACGGTACCGCGATGAGCACAAAGACAGCAGTTTTCCTTTGCCAACATTTTCATGGCATATATTGAAACACAAAGTCTAAGCAAAATCGTCTCTAGTCCAACTGTTTGGAAACGCTACATGGATGACATTTTTTCGCTGCAAGACATAAGTAAAAAACCAGACATCGTAGCTTTCTCCGAACCAGCAAACTTACATTACCCGACCATTAAATTCACCACCGAAATTCACTGAGACAGTGTTTTTAGACTCAGTTGAGTACAAAGGCACAAGATTCAACGAAAAAGCTATCCTTGATGTAAACACACATTTTAAACAAACAAAGGAGAAGCCTTTGGCCCTAAACAACGTTTGAGGAAAGTATTTCTAATTTCAAAAAAACGCTTGATGGATCTGAGAGGCTACCAACACAGTTTGGCACAAAAATTGCTATTAGAAATAAATAAAACTCACAGAAACAGGAAATCTTCGCTCCTGAAACAAAACAGCAATGAAGAAAAAGAAATGTTGCCTTTCGTGACACAATACCAGCCCTCATACAAAACCAACCACTACTTTGCCAAAATTTAACGAACCACCTATTACTTCGTACGGAAAAGGAAAATCATGGCAAAGAGCTACCCCGCGAACAGAGGTTTCTCCGGTTGCATGGCTTTTACTGTTCACGAAGTCGTTCGCGTGGCTTATCTGTCAAGTCACGCGAACCACTTCGTAAACGCTAAAGCCTCTGTTCATTACTTTCTATACTGCCCAGTAATCAACGGAGAAACCAAGTTCGCATCAGTTGCAATAAAAGCTTTGGTGATTTTATATAATATGAAGTTTAAGGTCAATCAAATGAAGCATTTTTTACAACTTTTTCACGTTTTATAGGGATCAGTCTTGAAATGAGTGAAATACACAGCAAATATTAAATTAACATTCATTTTTACTTATTAACTGAGATTTACCGACAACCGACAAAGATCGAAAATTTTAACTGACCTACTACCGACCGGCAAAATGACTGTATAATAACCGACAACCGACAAGTAGAGCCCTCCCATTCAGACCCCCCCGCCTCAGCGGAGTCGGATTTCCATCCTCCGTGCATTTTTAGGTATCGATAAGTAGGTTTTCTGAATTCGAGTTGCTGCTTTGATACACCGCAAATGTAATCATAATCGTTAGGGTTGTAGCCAAACCTACTCAATGTGTCCCTTAAGATATCACACTCACTGAAAAAGGTAGCTGAATACCTGTTAACTTAATTTTACACCAGTCCATAAACTTTCTAATAACACGAATATAAGACAACCCTTGAATCTGCTCTGGACTTTAACATCACTTCTAAAACCTGATGAATGCTCGCCGAATAAAACTGCTAAAACCCTCGCCATGATTTACTTGACAAATTTAACTTAAGAATAAAATTTAAACGATAAAAGAACAAGACAAATATCCGTTCTAGAGTACATCATTATATGGCCAGCGCCACTTTGATATTAATATTTAGGCCAGAGCCACGTGAAGCAACAGCTCATTAGGCCCGCAGTGCCTATAAATAAGCAACTTGGTATTCAGCCAGTACCATACGAATTAAACTAGGAGTAATCGGAGCTTAGGAGAGTGCGTTCGATATGTTTGTTAGGCGTCAGTACAGGTAGCAGTTGAGGGGGAAGGGTGAATGGTTATTGCTATAGATTAATTTGATCATGGCATATTTTAAACGTAAGGATTGCTTACAGTGAAACCTCTAAAAACTGTGTATCATTATGAAAAAGGCTAGTGATATCGTATGGTTCGTCTCAAGAACTACAGTAATTTGGTCGATTGTGTTGATTTCAGTTACTTGAGTGGAGCTACGCTGGTCCGTTTATAAGTTTTTCCGAATAAATAACATAGACCTAAAATGTTAGTTTGTCCGGTGCCAAAAATATTTCAAGTCATGATGAAGTGGTGCCGCCGAGCTTCACATCTCGGTAGATTTATTATACTTTGTGGCACAACGACCGCTGAAACGTTTGCCGGAAAGTTGTACGCTTTGAAAGATTCAGCAAACACAGATCGATAGTAGACCTTCAGCAAACTCTTGAAATATGTACGCTTTACGAAGATTCGGCAAACTTTTAAAAGATAAACGTTTTACGAAGAGAGAATGCAGACCGGCTCAGCAAACATTTGAAAGATGAACGCCGAGGACACACGAATCACCATGTGAGTTAGTGCGTCAAAGTGAGGCAAAACGTAAGCAAGAGCCTCAGAGCGAGGCAAATGTGTGTGGACACAAACGAAATCTCAAATTCTCGCTTATTAATAGCACAGAACACCCAACAGAAATTAGGGGTTGCCTTCTCGTACCTCGAACGCAATAACAGCTGGATGTAAAGGCCAGTGCCACTTTTTTTTTTTTTTTTGATTTTTTTTTTAAAGAATTTCTTACGTTTTCATACAAAATAGAAATTACGAAAAAAGAAAAAAAGAGAGAAAAAAGACACAAAGACACACACGCACCCACATAAACACTACCACATATAACAAAAGCTAGCCAGCGAAAACATCCGTCTTTCCTCGCTCTTCGCCAGTGGGGACGTTTCGCGTGGAGGAACGTCTACGACTCAGCGACAGAAATTCCATTCCATTTTTTTTTTAAAGAATTTCTTACGTTTTCATACAAAATAGAAATTACGAAAAAAGAAAAAAAGAGAGAAAAAAGACACAAAGACACACACGCGCGCGCGCACACGCACCCATATACACACTACCATATATAACAAAAGCTAGCCAGCGAAAACATCCGTCTCTCCTCGCTCTTCGCCAGTGGGGACGTTTCACGTGGAGGAACGTCTACGACTCAGCGACAGAAATTCCATACTGATGACGTAAAATCTGTCCGGAATCTGGTCAGAAGCGCTGATTGGTCGACGGAGTAGATACATAGTTCAGCTATTGTTTATGAATGACAGACAAAAGACAAAAGGCCACAAAAGTTAAATATAAACGCGAAGAACCTGTAACAAAACAGTCAGTATTTGTGGAATATAGTTTTCTCGAGAAGAAGCATTAGAGTTTTGCTGGAGCTCGTTGGCAGATGAACACAACACTTTACCAAAACCGACCAGAAGACACGTAAAATTGGACAAATTCATATTTGGAACCCCATGGCTACCGGATTTTTTATGTAAACATTGATTTGCGTCATCAGTATGGAATTTCTGTCGCTGAGTCGCAGACGTTCCTCCAAGCGAAACGTCCCCTGCAGCGAATAGGGAAGAGAAACGGAAGTTTTCGCAGGCTAAACAAAAGCTCACTATCAATAAACCCATCCAGTTTAAAAACTGCATTAACAGCTCATTGCTGGGCCAGTGCCACAAGAATATAAGACTCATTATTCGGGAAAGGGCCACATAGATTAACCCTTCAATATTGTCTTGGTCAGAGCCGCGTAAATTAACTGCCCATTTGTGGTACAGTACCACATAAACAAAACAGTGCATTAAGGAAAAATAAATCATAAAAATGAGTGGGGGGAGAGCAGAGACCAAGAGAGATGAATAAACTGAGTGGACCGCGAGCGTGAATGACTCTTAGAGAACAGTAGGGCGTGTATATACTAAAAGAGACCAATCAGAATGGTCTTTAATCAGGATACACAATAGTGGGTGCGGCAGGTGTGAAACAGAAAACAAGTAGGGATAATTACTTGGAATAAGAGTGAAAAATGCATTCTAGGAGTCAAAGAGAGCAAAGTTGATGCTGATTTCTGACCAGATCAGAGACTAAGTTAGAAAATCGTTTTAAAGGCGAGCCCTTCATCTGCACTTTTTAAAAACGCTGTGGTACATCCAGGATCTCGAATAAATCGACTGCATGAGAAACGTTTACGTGTGTTTTATGTGGAGAAGGCGAGAGTTTTCCTGAGTCATTTGACGATATTTTTGCCCGTGTAGAATTTGGGAATATTACGATTGTTTTTCGGAGGTAGTTACCATTGCCGCGAAAGCTAAGTGATATCTTGTGTGATTTGCCGAAGGCGTTGACAGACAAAACTCAGGTATGTGGTTGAGCTCGTGTTAGTAGAATACTTTGGCTAAGCATAGAAATGCTTCGAGACTGTTTAGTTTAGATGATTTTGTCTTAGAAAACCAATTCAGAGCTCAAAGAGGATGGATCACTAGGTCTGTCTCGTCGGGCATCTTGCTATGAGCGACTGAAAGGACATAGTTTCTGTGCTTTACAAATGTTGTTAATGATTTCATTGCAAAATTCTGTCGCTTTCGCCAAGAGCAATTTTCCGCGTGTTTCTAGCGATAAAGTTGTGGTTTGAAGCCCTAACTTAAGACTTTCATCTACTTTTCATTCGCCTCAAGGATCAAATCATTAAAAGGTACTTGCAATTTCGGGCCATAAATTACAGGTATGAAGTTTCCTTACCTCTTTATTAACTTAAAAAGGACCATCCCTCTATACATATGCCTTGGACATTACTAATTTGCCAAGATCCAAGATTGGTTTCAAAAGAATTTCACTTCTGGAGTGCCAATGTGGAAAAAACTGATTCCCGTCAACTCAAGCGTAATGTGAATCTTGTATAATTATGTTTTCCTTGCAGATATGGATATTTTATTGTCGTCAATCCTTACCATGTCCTTCTCTCCTCAGACACTGATGACTGTTATCCAAACCCGTGTCTAAACAATGGGACTTGCATAGACGGAGTCAATGACTACAACTGCACATGCGTGGCTGGTTTTGTAGGGAAGAACTGTAACTGTAAGTTTAAAAATATCAAACCTCAATATCTATATCGGTTTGTAAGATTTACGTGCACTTATCACCTTAATGGTTTTGAAATCTCTGTTTCTCCTTAGACACTGATTACTGTTATCCAAACCCGTGTCTAAACGATGGGACTTGCGAAAACGGAGTCAATGACTACAATTGCACATGCAAAAATGGTTTTGTAGGGAAGACCTGTGACTGTAAGTTTAAAAATATCAAACCTCAATATCTATATCGGTTTGCAAGATTTACGTGCACTTATCACCTTAATGGTTTTGAAATCTCTGTTTCTCCTGAGACACTGACGACTGTTATCCACACCCGTGTCTTAACGGTGGAACATGCATTGACGGAGTGAATGACTACAATTGCTTATGCGTCTCTCTCTTTGTAGGGAAGAACTGCTCCAGCTTTAAGTCTTTTCAAACTAAATCTTTCAATATACATTTGTAGGAATTTGCAAAAAGATACCTGCAGGATTTTTTTTTCCAACATCCTGATTTTAATTTTCCCAACATTTTGACTTAATTTTCTAGATTTCTTCTTAGCTACCTGGAGCAAAGTTTTCCGGAAGGAATCATTAAGCGTTATATTATGAAGTAACAAGTCTCACTATTGGCAAAGTCGTCCTCGTCCAATATCTTACCGCATTTCGCTTCATTTGGTTATACGGGTGAAACACTGATCTCGGGCTCGAGACGGAAAGGTATCGATATTGAGAGCTTTGTTCCGGGTGGCCTCTGCAGAAAGTAGGTTCTAGGAGTCAAGTATATTCGGAGAGAGAAAAGTTGAGCTGATTTCTCACCAGGCCAGAGACTTAGTTACAAACTGTTTTATAGGCGGCCCCTTCATCTGTCCTTTTTAAAAACCTGGAGTACTATGATCCGAGATCTCGTAAAAATCGACTGTGTGAGTGTTTACGTGTGTTTTATGCTGAGAACATTAACGTGAGAGCTTTTCTGAGTCATTTGACAAAAATATTACGACGGAATATTATCAGTGTTTTTCAAGGGTGTTATCATTGCTCCGAAAGCTAAGTGATTTATTGTGTGATTTGCCGAAGGCGTTGACAGACAAAACTTAGGTATGTGGTTGCTTTGTGCCAAGCATTTAATACAACACTTAGTGATCGATTCGCGAGTCTTTAGTTTAGGTGATTTTGTCTTAGAAAGACTATTCTGTGCTCAAAGATTGTAATTGCCGCGAAGGCCATTTATTGTGATTTACCGATAGCGTTGACAGACAAACTCAGGTAAAAAACTGGTTGAGCTCGTGTTACCAGAAGACTTTGTGCCAAGCATAAAAACGCTTCGTGAGTGTTTAGTTTTGCTAATTTTGTCTTAGAAAGACTATTCTGTGCTCAAAGATCGTGGATTCTTAATCTGTTTTCGGCAGCCACTTAGCTCTGGGCCTCATGGTTTGACTGACTAAAAGGTTATAATTTCTGGACGTTTCACTCAGCTAGTAACGTTTCGACTTAGATATCAAATAATTTGTTACAATATGCACTTGAAATTTCTTTAGCCACGTTTTAGCAAACCCTGACAGATATATATAGAGAGATATATATATATCGTAATTTGAGCTACATAACTTAATGTTTCAGTGTATAAGTACATTTTTTTGTTTTCAGCCGAGAGTAACATGTATCCCTATGGTTTGAACAACGGTGATAGCGAGTTTCGTTTTGGCGACTCCTACTATTACTACTATGGCCACTGCTTAGAACTCAAAGTAGATCGCTTTGGATTTCCATTTTTCAGCAAGAGGCATTACAAATTACATGTACGTATGATCCCTTGATATGTAAACTGCACCAAGGAAGTTTCAAAGATGCCCCATCTGCTGTTCGAAAACAGCAGTAGTAGTGGGCCCTTGTGATATCTTCTTTTCTGTTTAGTGTTTTCGAATTGCGTGTTTAGCATTTTGTCTGACAGACACCCAATTATCTACTGGAAATCATGTTGTTGTTGTTGTTGTTGTTTTTTTTTTCATTTTTATGTGGCTAGTAAATAACATATATATATAATTTCGCGAATCCACAGGTTTTCAGGCTTTTGCTTCTTGCCTTCTCCCGTAAACTCGACAAACAATCGAACTTTGTCTATCACAACTTCCAATTTAAAGTACATTTATCAAATTTACTTTGCAGATATGCCGCAATGGAAAAATACAACTAAATTATGAGTGGAGTTTTTGGTGGCCTCAAAAGTTCGGTGTGTATAGATGGTTTCGAAATTATGCAATCATCGCTCCATTCTGGGCTCTCACGGACGAGTATATTGCTTTTAAAGCTAAATATTCAAAAGTGTATTATCACGTGTACAGTCAAGACACTGATCCTACAAGAATTCTGGACAGAGCCTCGAAGCATGTTCAACAGTTTGGTGGAGAAGCATTCTCAAACTTTCAAGCCAAATGGGTTTTGGTTGTAACCTGGGAAAACTTATGTCCCTACGTTTATTATCCATGGTACTACTATTACTACAACTGGATAATACCCAATCTTAATTGTCGATGGGTAAGTAATAGTTACTTCTCTTATGAGGAGTAAAAAGAGACGCTTTGTTCATAAATAAAATTTTTCAGTTGCTGGTTTCCCTGGGGCTGGACATCGCCCATAGAGAAGCCAAGCGGGGTTTGTAACCCCGGCCCTGCTTAGGATAAAAAAAGAAACCCGAAAGGCCCATTCTGTATACATGGTTTACGTCATAGAAAGTGCGGCGTACAGGGTAATTTTCACGAGCTGTTTGTGTCAAAATCCGAATGAACGAGTGAGGGTCTTTTGATACAAACCAACGAATTAATACAAGCCCGTAAAAAGCGCTTTTTAAGACGTGAGCTGTTTATTACACGTATAAAGAGAATTTTCACGGAACTAGAAAAAGCAGATCGCAAATATTTGAACCAAATGCAAATTTAATAGAAATGGCAAATCTCACAGCCCAGTAAGTTCCCATCGAAATAAAGTGCTGAACAGAAAATGCACTTACAAGCTTGAAGCAAAAGACCTCAGCGAAGTGGGCACGTATTGTTCGGCATCGATAAAACATGGACTGGATTAATAAAACATGGATTAATAAAACATGGAGTGATATAACGAGGATTTATGACCAAGTAAGGGCTGTTTCAAACGTCGTGCTACTGCCGTGCTAAGCTGGCTCGACTGTAGCTCGACTGCAACACGACACTAGCACGACTTGGTTTCAGACGTCGAATTTAATTCAGTCGAATAGAACGGCTGTTGCGGAAAATAAAACACAAAACTAAAGAAACGATTTAGCAAAATTTTTAGTGTATTCTAATGTATTTATAATTTATGAATTGAGTTCGGCAAGGCGGTAGCACAACGTTTGAAAGCAAGTCGAGCTACTGCCCTGTAGCACGGCAAGGCTTGCCGTGCTACACGGCAGTAGCACGACTTGGTTTCAAACGTCAAGCTACTGCCGTGCTAAAGTCGAATTTAATTGGATCAATTGAGTTCGGCACGGCAGTAGCACGACGTTCGAGTAGCTCCTGCTTTCTGTCACGCAATATTTCCGGTCGGACATGAAATGAAATAGGGCCAGTTATATTTTATCTTACTTTTTCTCAAAAGGGTCACTTTTGTTTGCCAACAACAAAAGTATTTCGTATAAAATAGACAGTTTCATTAATTATTCAAACTGTCAAATTGATGTTGTCTTTTGGCCAGTGCGGGCGAAGTATCGCGCCTATAATATCAGGGTGCGATGGCCCCACGGAGCGGATACTTGCATTTGTAGATCGGCTCATTCACCCAACAGCGCAGAAACAAGACTCCTATCTAAAAGATACGACAAACTTCCTGAATTTTATTGCAAGTACAAAATTGCCTAAAAATACAGTCCCAGTCTCTATGGACGTTACTATCTTACTAGTCTCTACACCAACATACCGCACGAAGAGGGCGTAACCATCGTATGTCAAGCATACAAAGATTTCAAGTGCTGTTTCTTATATTAACAGAAAACTCTTTCCAATTTTGCGGTAGCAACTACCTACAAATCCGTGGAACAGCCATGGGAACAAAGATGGCCGTTGCTTTTGCAAACATCTTCATGGCCAGAATAGAAAAACAAATATTGAGTCAGAGTTGCATCAAACCGATATTTGGAAAAGGTATATTGACGAAGTGTTTTCGCTATGGAACACGAGTCTAGACAAAATAGAGAGCTTTGTGGAAAAGACAAAAAACTTTCACTCTACGATAACATTGACCGCTGAGATGTCATAAACAGAGATCATGTTCTTGGACACAAAGGTGTACAAAGGGACTAGATTCGACAAGGAATCAATCCTAGACGTGCAAACACATTTTTATTTACAAACCAACAGAAACATTCCAGTACACGGACTTCTACTCGTGTCACCCAACAGGCGTGAAGAAAGGCTTCATTAAAGGAGAAGCGCTCAGGCTTCTAAGGACTAATTCCTCTCAGATCACATTTGAGAGGAATATCAGAAATTTTCAAAACCGCCTGTTAGAAAGAGGCTCCCCTGTCGCTATTTTAAGAAAGTACCTCTCTGAGGTAGAATTTGCCGACAGGAAAACAGCCCTACAACAGAGAAACAAATACGCTCGCAAAAAAAATTCTACCTTTTGTTACACAATACCATCCGGCTTTACATAGCCTGAAGAGAATACTTATGGGGAAACGGCACCTTATACAAAACCAGCAACGACTAAGAGAAATCTTTAAGGAGCCTGCCCTCGTATCTTATCGCAAGAGAAAATCTCTTAAGGACCTTCTGAAGGCCACATAACTTCCAATACGACTAAGTGCAGGAGTCGTGTGATGCCCGTCGCTTATTTTTAATGTTTAATCTATGTTTTTTTAATCCATGTTTTATCACTACATGTTTTATTAATCCATGTTTTATTAATCTAGTCCATGTTTTACCAATCCAGTCCAGTCCATGTTTTATCAAATGCCGTATTGTTTTCCGTCTTTTTTTTAACTCGCAGTAGAAAAATTGCGATTAACACGTCGAGATTTCTTGCATCAATGTTCTCCAACTCTCTCGGCTCGTTCCTTGAAACTAACAACTTTTTCAACAACGAAACATCTGTTTTTTCTTAATGTGTTTGATGCTGCACAAACTGACATAAACCTTTCACCGCTTTCATTCGTCCCCACCATTTTTTGAAGAAAAATTTGGAGGAGGCGCCACTAAAAGCCGCCAAATCTAGATAGTCATTTGAATGCAAACGATTAACGACTCCCATTGGCTCAGAAAGGCGTTTACGCTGTCGTTGATTGGTTATACTTCAACATGTGAAAACGGCTGTGCGTTATTCTGATTGGCTGTATAAGCTTTCTCATATGTGAAAACAAAGCGTATAGTTTTCTATAAATAAGTTTACCAAATAAAATTCTCGTGATGAGTGTAATAAAAGACAAAACCTCTTTGTTGTAGAACAATGTTTGAAACGATAAACAAAATATAGCTAATGCTACTTTTTAGGATAAATTACGACTTTTTTAGACAACGTCGCAAAAAATTGTGTTCTCAGGACAGATAAGCTGGAAGTACATGCCGTGGATAGCAGTACGTACATCAATACTTTATCTAATTAATTGACGATTGACGTCATAAATCTAATGAACTCAGCATATAGTTTTCGTTATAGGTGGCACGCTTTTAAAATCACGTTCATTTTTTTTTCACCCTCGGTGACCCAACCTTTTTGTTGTTGTGTCGTTGTTGTTCTTTGCAGTCTAACACCTTTCAAGCAGTCATCATCACAGATTTCCTCAACTCATTTTTGATGTTCAATTATCCTCATGGAGGAATTCAATGGGTTGCTCCAGTTTTACCGTAAGTACAGCCCGTTAGACACGTAACACGTAACACGTAACAACCTTCTGTCAAAACTAAGCCAGGATCTCTCTCGGTCTGACAGTGTCGTCTATTTAACATTTCAACGTTCTATGTGAAAAATAAAGCTCTGTGGATGACGGTGTCTCATAATTGACAGCTGTTTCCCTGCCCCATTAGTTTGATATTTATTCTATTCTCAATGAAAATCGCCTAATCAAAAAGGACGTACATGCCAAGCGTATAAATAAAACTTGCGCGTTAACCTCTCTTCGCTACTCGCCTTTTTACGCGCGTTCACCGACTGGGCAGTCTCTAATTAAAGCATACGCGTGCGCGCTAAATCCTGGTCAACAAAATCTACAACGTGGTGAAGAAAACTGAAAAATTCAATACGGAAAAGGCGTTAGCTTTTTCAATTTTTCATAGTGTAATTGAAGTTTGCTTTTTCTTTTGTTTATTGAACTTTTGGACTTAACGTTTAGAGATATTAATTAAACACTTGATAATATCGTACTTAACCTTTTGGTTTTTAGATACTATTATTATTACTGGACAAGGTGGTATGGCATCCCCGCTGCTGGTTGGAACGCAGGCGATAATGGTCAACACTATTTAAACATGAAAGGGTAGGACTAAGAAATTTCATATGTTACTATCTTTGTTTCCTTGGAAGTACTATACTTCCTGTTACTTGCCGCAAAAAAGCAAGAAAGCAAGAAACGGTTCGTGTTTGAAATTAAACTAAATGAATTTTTTAAGGTAGCTCGATGGGGTTTTTCAAGGCCAATACCTCCCAAGTTTGAGAATAAACTACATCGTCATTAAATTTGGAAAAATACCACCACAGCTGTATTAGATAAAGAAGAAAAATGGTCATGATCTGTGTTACAAAGACATCAGGGTTGTCACAGCAACGAAATGACGCCATTAGCTATTTTATTTGCAGCCGTGTTTCTCCGCATTAGCTTTTTCCTCTAATAGCTGCCTCGACGTTGGTGAAGTTTAAGCGAAACATATGAGAGGGTTATCGAGATATTCTGGGATGAAGTTTTCATGGTTAGAAATATGGTAAAAACTGGAAAATCTTAATATGCAACTTCTTTGTCCGGTAACATTACATACAATACAATACAATGCAAATTTTATTGTCAACTCCCCATGGGGACTTTTCAGAGACAAGCATTAATAGTACAGGTAATCAAAAAAAGAAAAAAAAAAGGATCACAAAGTGATTATCAATAAACTATTAAGAAACTATTTACATATAAATTTATGGCATTAAAAATTGATTTAAGAGGAAGGCTTTCAATTTACGTTTGAAAATGATAAGAGATTCACTTAATTTAAAATGGGGTTTTAACGCATTCCACAATGTTACAGTTCTGTAATAAAAAGATCTCAGTCCCGACTTGGTTTTAAAAAGCGGTATATTAAGCTGAGAAGATGATCTGGTCGTCCGACCACTGATATTCCCTCTGGAGATAAAATTTGAACTGAGGTAGTTTGGTACCTGACCTGTCATAGATTTAAAGGCCAAGATGGCGTCTCTTAGATACAGGTGGGACTAAACTGGTATCCATCTCAGGTCTTTCAGGGCTGGAGATACGTGATCAAACTTCCTTGTCCCAGAAACTATGCGAGCAGCGAAATTCTGTACTCCTTGTAGTTTGCGTATATTGCTGGCAGAAGTATTCGACCAGACGGACGAGCAGTAATACAACTTACTAAACACGAGAGAATTAATTATTGTAACAAGTATGTCTTTTCTAAATATATGTTGAACTCGGCTAATTTGCCCTAGGGCAGACATACAAGATGATGCTGTTTTAATTATGTGGTCGTTGAATGAGAGTTTACTATCAAACGCTACACCCAGGTCCTTAACAGAGTCGACGGGTAAAAGTTCTTTACCCAAGAGGGTAAGGCGAAAATCCTGAAGTTTCGATATCATTTGCCGACTTCCATATACAATCAGTTTAGTCTTGTCCGGGTTCAGGAGTAGCCTATTATTAAAACACCAATTACGTAGTTTAATAAGATCATCGTTCATCGCGGCCATAGTCGGTTCACAGTCCTGCACTTGGAATGACATAAGCAATTTAGTGTCATCAACGTAGCAGTCCGTGGAACAGTGCGGTGGGATTGATGGCAAGTCATTGGTGTAAGCCGGGAAGAGCAAAGGACCGAGGATACTTCCTTGGGGAACACCGTACCGTACCTCATTAGCAGGGGTTCGGAAAGAGCAGTATTTATACGCACAGCTTGGTACCTGTTTGACAAGTAGCCCTTGAACCACAGGATGGCAGAGGATGACAAGCCAATATCTTGTAATTTTTTAAGCAGAATATTGTGGTTGACACTGGCGAATGCTTTGCTCATATCAAGGAGAACTACTGCTTATGTTTTCTTTTGGTCAATTGCGGTGAGAATGCGATCAGAAGTGTAGATCAGTGAAGTCTCGGTGGAATGCAACGATCATTCTCTCCCAAGGAGGGCATAAGTTGATTTAAAGCGATACGCTCACATAGTTTTGAAAGAACAGGTGATAGGGATATAGGGCGGTAGTTATTTGGCTTTTCGTGATCGCCTTCTTTCAACACGGGGATCACTTCAGCTGTTTTCCACTCAATTGGAGGTATTACTTGCGAGGGACTCGTTAATCATAGACGTCACGGACGGCAAAATAGCAGGAAGGCTATACTTGATCACTCGAATGCTGATTTTGTCAATCCAAATGAACTTGAACTTGATTGGCTCACCATCGAAGAGCTACTGCGTTTACGTAGCGTATTCATGACCTTTTAATCAATAGTGCTGTGCTCAGTTATTTTTAAAGTACTAAGCTTATAAAACGCTCAGAAACTCACTCGTATTGCACAGAGCAATCAACTTAACCTCCCTCAGTGCTGAACCTCCTCCGCACAGTGTGCCTTCCGCTTCAGTGCTTCTGAATATTGGAACAGTCTTTTCAAGATATTAGAAACTCTGCCTCTGTTGAGGTTTTAAAGGTTGAGGCTTGAGATAATCAGAATGCGGAAACAGAAAATTTACCCGTAGTTTGTTGATCTTTTCAAAATAACTGTTTATTAGCTTTTTAACTTTTCATAATTGTTGTCTAAGCATTCAAATTCAATTGTAACTTAAGTTTGTCTTTTATACATGTAATTTTTACTTATCTCTTACATTATACTTAGTCCATGATTTTTAGTAAAAATCATGTAAATTAATTCTGAAAAACCTAATTGGGAGAATTAATAAAGTGTATTGTATGTCATGGTAACCCTGATCATAAAAACTTTTCATCTTTACATAATAGGGCGGTGGTGGTAATTTTTCCAAATCTAGGTTAATATGGCAACGTAGTTTGCACAAACTTGGGAGGTATCGAAAAACCCTATCGAGCCACTTTAAAGTATTTTATGTATTTATTTTAGTTCGAAAACTTTGTATGGCATGTATGATCTGGACAAGAGGGCAGGAAACACAGGATTGACAGGAAGCTATTTTTGGAGGATTGACAACAGTGATGGAAGAAAGGCACTGGATAGGTGTTTCACTTGGGCTTTCTTTCAAGGGGAAATCAACTTTCTCTACTGGCACACAGTCTATGTTAGGTGGGACTGGCGCATGGCCTGTCCTTGCTCGGGTTGGCAAGCATGGTTTGACAGAAGATTCTTCTGGGACTGGCGAAAGTATTCCTGGCCCAATTGGTGCTTCGAGTCCAGACGATCAAAGTATATTTGGTATTACACTGGTAGACGATTTGTATATTTCAGCATGAGGCAACTTTGCTGCTACTCCACGGATTGGCAGGACTGGGGCTCTCTTAAGATTGGATCCCCTGACGGCAGCCGTGTTAAAATGCAGCTTCATTATTATTACAGCTATTGGTGGTGGTGGAATCGTGATCAAAGTGTTTACAACGACCAGCAGGCCTATAAATATTGCTGTGTTGATATACCATTTTGCGATTTGTTCTACTATTATCGCCCGTCTGATGACTGTCGGCAGTATATACCTCCACGAAGACGTGAGTATATTCTACATACGCTCTCTATTCCTTCGCTAAGCACTATAACCTACTGGCTGACCAAATACATCAACATACCAAAAGACTGAGCTGCCTATAAGGGGAGGCTTCTCCCGAAAAGGGTACCTTTTACAGGCTTCAGCTAAATGACAGCTTAGTTATTTCACTAGTTAAGTGTAATAAAGAGTAGTCCTTTGGTCTGTAAAAACGTTCTAAAATTTTTCGAGAAAGCGACTATTGATATTTCGTATTTTATTCGTATTTCGGTCAAAATTGGTATGTAAAAGGGTAAGGGGCTGCACTTCAGGGCGGAACCTCCTCGTTTAAACCTTTTTTAAGTATCCCCCCGAGGGGCGGTTGATCGACCGACTAAACAACCTACCAACCCAATTAAAAGACAGTCGATTGACTAAATTATCGATTGCAAGAAGCTAACTGACTAACGGCCTGAGATGATAAATTACATCGATCTACCGCCAACCCTAACGATGTACAGAAGTAAGGACTGGGGTGGACAAAGGGGCTTGCTGTTTAACGACTGATTGATTGATTGATTGATTGATTGATTGATTGATTGATTGATTGATTGATTGATTGATTGATTGACTAACTCTTGAATGCCTGTGGACCGTTGAGCGGCTGGCTGGCTTGCTGACTGACTAGACGACGGCAGAATACGGGGGCACCCAACGACAATTTTTGGAAAATATCTGTTCAGAAGACGATTTGAGATTAAGAATTTTCGGAACATTTGTTGTAAATGTCGTGCTTGCCTGCCTCTCCTAGGATTTTCGAACATCTAAAAAATGGTGTAATTGCCCATTTTTAACGGATTTTTACCCTAGAGGTCACCTAGAATTTTCGGGAGCCTTTTTTCTGGCTGAAAGTTTCGAAAAGGTAAGTTTTGATCCCTATAACTTTCGCATCACTAAACTTTCAGCTAGGAAATCCGAACAGATAAAAAATTGTTGGGGATAAAAATATGCCTATATCTACCGTTTAAATACTAAAATACGTTCAACAATTCAGTGTTTAAGTGGATTTGAACTATATTCTCGTTGGGTGCCCCTGAGAATAAAGTAAAAGACCTGAATGGCATCACCGAATTGAACGACTTACTAACTCTTAAAATGTTTCCATGCCTTTCAATTTCAAAGGTTGGTTTTGGGGAGATCCTCATTTCAAGACTCTGGATGGCGGGAATTATACTTTTAATGGCCTCGGTGAATTTGTGATGATCGATGCACAAAACGGAACCTTTCAACTGCAAGCCAGAACAAGCCTGGCCCAGGGAAACTCGACTACTGCCACTATTTTTGCAGCTGGAGCTGCTAAAGAAGAGAACACGAGTATCGTTGAAGTAAGAGTGAAGAAAGGAGGTAAGAGATGAAATAAAAGTCCCTGGATATTTTACGCGCAGAAAATTATTAATAAGATGCGGTTGAAAAATTTTAATACCCTCGAACGTCGACAAGTGGCCCATAGTAACAATGGTGGAACGAACATTTGATTGCATGTGACATCACCTTAAAAGGCATCCTAAAATCAACAACAGAAAAGCGTTGTAAAGCCTACTGTGCAAATAAAGGCTGAGATCGCTGAAAAAAAAAGCTCAACGAACATAGCAATGAGTGTAAGGGAGTTCAAATTGAAACTGCGGCAAACCTCGTTTCAGCAAATATAATAATACATCAAATGGGTATTTTTAAGAATTCTTTTTTTCTCATAGGTCTGTATTTTCTCTTACTTTTTCTTTTCTTCTTTCTATTTCCTTTCTTTTAGGGTTATTATTACTACTCAGTATTTTTTTCTTCTTCTCGAGATACATTAGCTTTTACAGCTAGAATGTAATTCTGAGGTTTAAATAAAGGTGATGTTGTGTTATGTTATGTTCTTATGTTGCGACAACGATCACAGAGACAGAAGTTAGTTTGGTTGGTTTCCATGTCATAGTAGTCACAAATGTCATGATTTTTCAGACCGCTAGACGTTTTAGCGACTTTATTCGGTGACCACAAAGAGAAACAAGGCTTGATACAGCTTGCATATAAACGGCAAAAAACTTCACCACCTTTACAAACACAGCTTCTTTAAAACATTTTTTGTTTTGTTTTTCTTATCTCTTAAGGTGGAATTGACATCCTTATAGACCACACAATTTACAGCAATTACAGCAGTCTGTCTAATGAAAGTGTAAACGCAGGAAGAAATCTTTCCATCTCAAAACCAGAAGAAAACTGTTTAGAGGTTTCCTTTCCATCACTAACGTCCGTAAAATTCTGCGAGAAAAAGGAAATGATGTCGTTTATTGTAACTCCTGGAGATGATTATAAAAATGCCACAAAAGGGCTGCTAGGAACATGGAATGATAATCCAAATGACGACTTCACCTTGCCTGATGGGACGGAGCTGCCTTCGTCTTTAACTTTAAGAGAGATTCACTTCAATTTTGGCGTTAAGTGTAAGTTTAATTGCTTTGTAAAATGACTTTAGAGCTTACAAATTGTGTATCAATAGCATAAATGATAGAAAATAGTAAATTCTCCGTGGGACGATCATAGTTAAAGTGCACTTAGCTGCTAGAGCTAGTTTTAGGCACTCACTTGAAAAGATATTATGTACACAGAGTCAGAATCCTGAATTGTTAAGAGGCAACCAGTTAAATTCTCGATGATTTCTATATCTTTACTAAAACAAAGCAATTCTTTTAAGGGCGTTTTATTAATTTCAAAATAGTACAATTATGTACCCACAATTAGCTATTCTCTGTGGGTAAGAATAAGAGAGAGTGAGTTTATTCTCTCTTGGTAACAATACAATACTAGTCTGCAACAATACTGAGACCCTTCCATGGTTTTGACAGGGAAAATCCGTCAACACTTCTGGAAAAAACGCCTTCAAATCAGTAAAATTGCCCAGTTTAAAAATGATTTTTTGAAAACTAACCAACTCAAGATATAGCTCTGCCAAGTCAAGTCGCGAAATTTTACAGAGGTTTGTGTGGTGGGGTGCAAGTTCGTGCCCCCACCAAACAAAGGTCTGTCAAATTTCGCGCGTTTATGGAGCAATATCTTTGCTCTTTTTGGGTGTATCACCTTTAAACTTGGTAAGTTTTCTTATTCTAAGGCCCACTTTCCAGTGGTGTTGATCAGAGATATTCGCTCACTACTCTTTATTAAAGTTGTAAGAAACCGTGGAAGGATCTATTATCCAAATTCCAAGAGTCGGGAAAGAAAGAAAAATGATTATAGAGAAAACGGCAAAACAAGATAGCACTATAGTCAGTGCGCTCACTACATTTTATAAGGAATTACCTTCCGTAGATATCAGAGGTGTCCAATGTAGTTTTGAAGGATGGTAATTAATGTCAACCAACTGGTCCAAGTCTTAATCAGTCTGATCTCATTTATTGTTGATTAAACTTTTAATTAAACTTTTTTTAATTTTTTTTTTGTGAAATAATGATCTTTTTCGCTCAAAACGCTTCCTCCGAGTAAGCCTACAATCACGCCAGTTTATTCAGTTTTCGAACACTCAAGAAATTAAGACATTTATGGTGGAAATTACAGGATGGTTCTCCATGATATAACTGCTTTTAGCAAGGGAAAAAAATAGAACGACGTTAAAGATATGAAAAACGTCTTATTATATTGGTTGGTCCTGTATAGTCGCCTTGAAGAAGTAGCTATTGTAGTAAAGGATATGTCCAAAGAGTAGTTACTGAATGAACTCGTTGTTGGCCTTAATGTGAACTCCAATAATAGCAAATAAATAGAGAAAACTAAAGACAATTTTATACTCTTCAAAATAATGTTTTATTGGTGTACTTTTAGGGCAAATCAACCAATCTCAATCATTGTTCACGTATGCTCCAAACGAAAGTGTGCATACTTTTTCCAAGCCTGACTTTGAGCCCATATTCGCGGACAATATCACGTGGCATAACGATAGTTTAAAGCAAGAAGCGGAGGAACAATGTGGAGATGATCACGAGTGCTTATTTGACGTAGCTTCAACCAATGATCTGTCTGTTGGCCTAGTAACCAAGGATATCAGTGCTCAGTTGGTGAATGAGACAAATGCTCTTGGTAAGCAGATCGTAATACAGTGAAATATGTAAATAGTCAGTCCTAGTCCTACTAAACGGAAACAAGGGAAAGTGCCTGGAGTGTATGCTTAATACAGGTATTGCCGCATGATCATGCAGATATCAAGAATTGTAATCATGAAAGTATTTACCCTTATCATTTGAAAAAGGTAACCCCACTTTTAGTTGAAAGTACACTTAAAAAAAGTATAGATTACCCCTTCGCCAACTATCACTTGGTTAATGGCCATTTTCATACTAGAGACGACGGATAATTCATCAAAATCTGTCAAAATTGACGGACAAACAGATGTATAAGGTCACGCGGACTGTTCATCTAAAATTAAAACCGTTTCATTTTCAAATTGAGACGTATTATGTCTGACGCGAATTATCTAATCCGTATCAGATGGATAATCCGTCTCTGGCGTAAAAACAGCCAATGAGTGAGATATCTGATCTTGTCCCTCTTCTTTTAATGCTTCTACAATGTATAATTTTTTACTCAGACAACTTTCCACCCAAGATTGTAAACGTTTCAAGTGAAATAAATGTCACGCTGGATAAGACAGTTCAGTTAAATATTACAGCAGAAGATGAAGGCATAATTACATTTCGAGTGATCAATAAACCATCAAGTGCCATCGTGAACACGAGTGGAAATGTACTTCTCTTTACCTGGTCTGTCACATCAACAAAAAGGGTAGGATAGTGTACTTACCTGAATAACAAAGGAAATGAAACATTCGGCGAACATGGACGACTTCGCCTAAAGTGAAACAGGATCATACTCTTAATAAAACTTCTTTATCATTCTTTAAGTTTTTTTTGTGTATTCACTTTGAAGTTTATACCAGAAAGAAAAATCAACTATTGCTTATTTTTGTTCTTCAGGATAAAAACCCCAGTTTGATCATTTGACTTGAATGATCAGAAAACAAATCGAGTTTGGTTTTTAGAAAAGGAGTTTAAAAACCCCTTTGAAGATGTTGTAACTTGAATACTCTGTCAAATGAGACTGACTCGTAAGAGTTTACGACTCTGAGGAAGAATAAGCAAAAATCAATATTACGCACCTAAAGTATGAAGTGGCACTGTTTAGCTCATTACGCAACATGTTTAGACTCGTTCTCCCGGCCTTTTTGTGTCACTGACCAAAAAATATCATTTTCTTTATAAGTAGCAAAAACTGAAAGAATTTTTCCATTGTTTCAGTTTAATCTTTCGTTTGTTGCTACTGACGATAAAGGAGCGAGTGCAACCTGGAGTCCCAAGATTAAAATGTGCGCCTGCTACCATGGTGGTCAGTGTGTTCCCCCAGAGGAAGGTGACGAAGTCAACACTGACAGCAAATTTGTGTTTATGGGCTGCGCATGTCAGGGAGGTTACACGGGAAGATTCTGTGATAGTGACATTGATGCCTGCGAGATGAATGGTCAGCCGTGTTATGCAGGTGTTAATTGCACTGACCTTCCTGCGCCAGCTAATGTTAGTGGATATACGTGTGGACCCTGTCCAACAGGTTTTACCGGAAATGGAGCGCAATGTGCTGGTAGGTGCACTCCACTACAAATCTTGTGTCTCCACCAGTCGTCGGTTCTTTTTCAAAATTTTAACCTTCCCGTTGTCTTTTTTTAGAGAAATAATGCCTAGCAGCAAAAGACAGTTTGATGGGCTTTTATGGGCTTTATTAGTCTATTAATTTGCGGTATTGTTCCCACTCACTAAGTATCTTCGTTTCTTGCTATTTTTTTCTCTTAGATTTTGATGAATGCCAGAGTAATACATCAAACATATGCGAACAAGAATGTGTGAATGTACCGGGATCTTTCACTTGTGATTGTCGCAATGGATACAAACTGAACGCAGACGGACGTAGCTGCGATGGTAACACTTTGAAAGATTATTTCCTAATAGTGTTTTTAATATATTCATTTTCTGGATTTTGAAAAGTATTTCTTCCTTAATTTTCTTGAAATTCATTTCATTCTATAAATTCAAGAAAATGGAGTGCGTATATGCATAATCATATGTCAAGCGAGGCCAAGTGTATAACGCACAAACACTTGTTCGCGTCCCGAAGCTTTCCCTTTCCCTTGGACTGACCTCGAATTCGTCTATGTGCAAAGAACAGAGGCACCCAACGAGAATATAGTTCAAAACCACTAAACATAGCATTGTTAAACGTATTTTAGTATTTAAACGGTAGCTATAGGCATATTTTTATCCCCTAAAAATTCTTCATCTGTTCGGATTTCCTAGCTGAAAGTCTAGTGATCCGAAAATTATAGGGATCAAAACTTACCTTGTTGAAAATTTCAGCCCGAAAAGAGACTCCGAAAATTCTAGGTGACCTTTTTAGGGTAAAAATCCGTTAAAAATGGGCAATTATACCATTTTTAGATGTTCGAAAATCCTAGGAGAGTCTGGCAAGCAAGAAATTTACAACAAATGTTCGGAAAATTATAGATCTCAAATCGTCTTCCGAACAGATATTTTTCGATAATTGACGTTGGGTACCCCTGAAAGAACGCTAAAAAAAACTTGGCCGATATTCAGCCGTTTTGACGTCAGGCTTGGTCGATAACGCATACATGTATATGCGTCGCATTTTTCCCGACCGAACTCGGGCTTTCTGCAGTTCAAAGTTGGAATGCTGTTTAACTAAGAAAATCAGGGTAAGTCGCCTTTAGTTGATGCCTTAATGTAACATGTCATTTTTTTGTAGATATAAATGAATGTGAGCCAACAAATGACTGCATGCAAACGTGTGACAACTCTCAAGGAAGCTACAACTGTTCATGTAATCCCGAGCTTTTTAAAACAGACCCCAACGACTGGAGAAAATGTGTAGGTAAGTACTGTCCAGATACCTAGTCGTTCAATGCTTTTTAAGAACAGCCTTGTAAATAGATTTAATTTTAAAGTATGATTTAACCTACCCTGGATGCCAGAGACTTTTCTAGCGCGGTTCCCGTTTCTGTCAAGTCTTCGTATGGCGCGTTGATGATTAAGAAACGGTCCAGATAAGAACGATAGCAACAACGGCAACGAACATGTTGGAATGCAAAAAAGGTGCTAACTTTTCTATTGTCTGTACTTACTTCTGATTGGCTTAAATAGCAAAAGTTAACAAAACTTCATAAAGCAGTACATATATTCATCCTTACTTTCCAACTATCTTCCATTTAACAAAATCTGGTCTCAGTTTGAATAACAAAGAAATCCTATGTGGGGAACATGTAAAATTGTAAACTTTTCTTGGCTATTGTTTTCAACTCTTGTGATTGGTCAAAATCTTTTAACACAGAAAACACCCTTTGAAAGTGGAGTGTAAATGCATTTTATTGCGTAAACGGCCTTCATTTAGGTTTATGCATTCTCTGTGTAAAAATGAGAACTCTCCTATGTGGGGAAAGCACCGTTGCCGCATAACAAAAGAAATTGCTATCCACCTTACCCGGATCATTACTTAATTGAGGAAATCGTACTTTGTTTGTGATCCATTTATGCTGTTTCAGTTAGCCTCCCTACAGACGTCCTCTGGGGTTCGTTCGTCACGCACACGTGGGGGAGAAATGAATGCGTGACGAACGAACCCTAAAGGACGTCTGCGGGGAGGCTACTGCTGCAGTAAGCATAAATTCCGCCGCGGCTACGATAATTATAGCGAAACTTGCGAACCTTGCTCGTTTTGTCGCTAACATTTTGATTCAAAACATTATTCGAGTTTTGTTGTGTATTTTATCGCTATATATTATTTACATTTGAGTTATATATTATTTAACTTTTTTCAATATATTTTAGCTGTATATATCATTAATTTTTTTGTAATTGGATTACCATTATGGGATGCAGTAAGCATGAACTTGAGCAAGACAAATATGTTGTACTCCCAAAAAACATTTGATCATATTACACCCCTACCTCCCCATAACGGCCACCTTTCCAAAACGGCCACTTTCTCCTGTCCCCAAGGCGGCTCGGGTTCGACTGTAGTCGAATAAGATATAACCAGAACGCTCTTAGAACCGTTTAGTCGAGCTTGTTCGGAGATTAGATAAGAAACGAGGAGACGATTAATTCTAAATGAGATAGTATTTCCTCGCTCAACGTTTTTTGCGTCCTACTTTATCGACGGTAGAGTTAAACTGCGAAAACAGCCGTTTCTCGTCGCTCCTCGCCGCTTGAGACGTTTCGCAAGGAGGAACGTCTGCGACTCAGCGATAGAAATTCCATACTGATGACGTAAATCAATGTTTACATAATATATCCGGTGGTCATGGGGTTCCCAATACAAATTTGTTCAATTTTACGTTTCTCCTGGTCGATTTCGGTAAAGTGTTGTGTTCATCTACGAACCAGCACCAGCAAAACTCAAATGCTTCTTCTAGAGAAGACTATATTCCGCAAATGTTGACTGTTTTGTTATAGATTCATCGCATTTACATTTGACCTTTGCAGCCTTTTGTCTTTTGTCTGTTATTCGTAAACTAAAGATAAAACAATGTAACTACTCCATCGTCCAATCAGCGCTTATGACCGGATTCCGGACAGAATTTACGTCACCAGTGTGGAACTTCTGTCGCTGAGTCGCAGATGTCCTCCTCGCTAAACGTCCCTACCCTCAGCGGCGAAGAGTGAGGGGAAATGGCTGTCTTCGCAGGCTACGGTAGAGTATTCTTCAGGATATTTACTTTTTATATCATTTCCAGGGAGCAAAAACGTGATGAACATGGCGCGTCATGGCATCAATCATCGTCGAAATAAACCGCATGCTTATCAGGCCTGACCAGTTAGCTTTGCTCATTAACATTCTACGGTGGCTCATAAGGACAAAACACTTCCCAGAGTCCAAAACACTTCTCACCATCCAAAACGCATCCCAGAATCTGGATTCTGGGAAGTGGTTTGGATTCTGGGAAGTGTTTTTGGATTCTGGGAAGTGTTTTGCATTCTGGGAAGTGTTTTTGAAATCTGGGAAGCGTTTTGTCCTTACGAGCCACCGTAACATTCTTCTTTTTTCCGACCATTAAAGTATTTACTCGTTTTCTAGTAATCAACGCTTTCAAGCGATAGAATTCGTGGACTGACCCGTTCAGAAAAAGCTCGACATCTGTCGCATTAAAGGGACAGTGTCCCGATTATGCGCACGCGCGAGCGTCATCTGTTTTTTCTTCAAAAGACAATAGAATTGTCAAATTGACTCGACAAGATTTCCTTCCGGACCACACCGCCGACAGAGATTTGTTGTTTATATTCTCAAGTAATATTTTAGACTTTGGCTCGCGGTTCGAAGACTCATTGCGATTTTATCGCTAGCTGGCCGCCTCGCGACCCGAAAATCTCGTTCCGCTCGCTTTAAAAACATATTTTCTAATTTGAAACTCGTGTCAGAGGTCAATCGCTCAAAGTCCAGTAAAATCTGCCTGATTTGGTCGCGTTCTAGCCTCAAACGTTTGAAAGACATAAATAAAAATGGAATCTCAACGCTATGAATCATCACAAAGGTTAGTCAAAAATGATATTATGATTTCATGTCACTAGTTTTTCAAAACATGTAGCGCCTGTTTGTTTGATTTTGTCGGCAGTAGGGAGATTCATTTAAAAGTTTACTAACGCGTCGTTGCAAAACATTCTGATTCGAATTTAAAGAATATAGTTCAAAACCACTTAAACATAGCATTGTTCGTATTTTAGTATTTAAACGGTAGAAAATCCCCTAAAAATTCTTCATCTGTTCGGATTTCCTAGCTGAAAGTCTAGTGATCCGAAAATTATAGGGATCAAAACTCGCCTTTTCGAAAATTTCAGGAAGAAAAAAGGCTCCTGAAAATTCTAGGTGACCTTTTTAGGTAAAAAATCCGTTAAAAATAGGCAATTATACCATTTTTTAGATGTTCGAAAATCCAAGATCTCCTTACAACAAATGTTCCGAAAATTCTAGATCTCAAATCGTATTCCGAACAGATATTTTTCCGAAAATTGTCGTTGGGTGCCCCTGATCTCCTCAGTCACATCAATGTCTCAACTGTTTCTTTCTTACAGTCTTTATTGCTGCTGTTTCATTTCTTCGTATTCCTTTCACAATTATCTGAGCTTGTATGGAAGCTAGCAGAAGAAATAAGCCTTCAATCGGCATCAAAGTGCTTCCAATCTTTTGGTCCTCCGGCCAACGGCAATAAAAGTAACGCCAAAAAATCCAGATTTTGCCCAAATCGAAACTTAACAGGAACAATATATCACTGATCTATAATCCTGAGAAGTTTTAGTGTCGTGTTTAACCCGGCCAAACGCGATGCAAACGGATTTTTCAAGATTCTCTTACTCTCCTCGCATCTTTTGATTTCGCGACATCCTGTCCAAAAATCAAAGTTCGGTGCATGCGCAGTAACGGGATACTGTTCCTTTAAGTTCCTAAGCTTTCTGCACGAAACATGCATGGAGCGATTCTCATCCCCAGTTTCCACGGCCTCTGCTAGGAACGCCTGGAACCATGAACTCCGCCCCTCCCCCTTCCCCGGCGTACACAAACGAAATAAATATTCTGAAGAAAACTCGACCTTCGATAAAGTAAGACGTGAAAAATTTTAGCGGGGAAATCCTGTTTCGACCAGAATTAACCGCCTTCTTATTTATTATCTAATTTCCAAGAAAGCTCGACTTAAGAGCCAATGTCGGAAAATATCGAGAATCTCAAATCAGTTCTAAAAATTCGAATTTTGGCTAATACCACCCAAACAACCCTTTAGGTGAACTATTTCAAGAAATGATATTAAGAAATCCTCAAGTGCTTTACATCTTGAGAAATTTGGAAAAGTTCGCGAAATTGTTGCAAATTTCAATAATTTTCAAGGAAGCAGTTTAAGCGTTATGATTCATGATTGCGACTTTTTGTCAAGTTCATTTTTACTAAACTTAATCTATCCATCTGACCTTGTTGGTCGATAGTTTATTGGGGCATTTCGTAAACAGCTCTTGAAGCCTTGTGGACTTGACCTGCCGGAAGCATTTTTACTTCCGAGTCCATGCAGAATTTAAAAATGATCACCAGACGCGATTTTCAGTTGCTCGTTTTTCAGGGTTTTTTTTCTTTTTGTATTTTTCAACGGACAATTTCGCCTTTTGAGCTTTTCAGATAGCAATACCTGTTGACATGCCGAAATTTTCATCATTTCTCAACGCTTTGCTGGGCTAGAAATAACTTTGGTGTGATTTTCTCCTTCATATAAACGGTTTCCGCTTTGTTTTCATTTCACGTTCTTGTCGCTTACGGTAGCCCAAAGAGCTATATTTAAATCTTATTTTTTGCAAGCGTTTAAATTCTCAGAGCTGAAACTTCAGAGCTAGTTAAAAGAATCACAGCTCTCTTATTTAGTCTAATCATATTTTAAATTTGAGGCAAACTAGCATCGACTTTTTGCGGTCAGTTAAAGTTGGGCGTTGTTTCGACCGCTAAAACAGTATACAATCAAGGTGCAAGCAATGAAAGCCCAAAACTATATTAGAAAACTTATTTTGCGAGACATTTTTATGCAGTCTTAAAGCTCTGAGTAACTGGTAAATGCGTGTGCAACATCAAGTCAATAAGAGCTTTTGCGCGCTTGTACTGCTTCCTTGAAAATTGGTGAAATTTGCAACAATTTCGCGAATAAAAAAATGTATTTCTATCGAATTTTCGAACTTTTCCAAATTTCTCAAAATGTAAAGCGATTGAGGATTTCTTAATATCATTTCTTGAAATAGTTCACCTAAAGAGTGGTTTTTGTGGTATTAGCCAAAATTCGAATTTTTAGAACTGATTTGAGATTCTCCATATTTTCCGACATTGGCTCTTGATGCTTTTAAATGCGTCCTTTTTTAAAAAAAATGTCTGTATATTTTTTTAAAACCATTGTTTATTATCCAAATCACCAGTAGATCATGGCATCTAACTTCGAAGGAACAATATTTAATTTTTTTTTACTTTGTTCATTCGTAGCCAAGAAACCTTGCTCTTCAAATCCTGGCTGTGACCATGTTTGCTACACCAGCGACGACCAACCATTATGCGCATGCTTCGCTAACTACGAGCTACAGAGTAATGGAAAGACATGCAAAGGTACTGGGTCAGTCAGTTTATTCCGAAACCGTTTAAGCATCTCTCTTCTATGAGATAACTTGATTTCTCGGTTCGCAAACTTATTTCAGACTCAATTTGAAATGGTAGACAAAATCCTCTTAGCAATAAACAAGCGAAGATAGAGCATCAGAAAGTCGCGATTTTCAATTCGCGTTTATAAAGTCAAAATATTTTGTGCAATCAAAATAGGCTAAAAGAACTGAACTCCAACAAAATACGCGTGACTGGCGAAAGTGGCGGACAATAAGAATATAGCTTAATCACGAACTTGCCTTTGAGGCTTTACCGTCAAGTATCTACAATTATTTGAAGACACCAAGAATATATACATACACTCAACACCAACTAAAGTGTGTAGGCGGGTTTCGAGTCTTCTCCTAACTGGTCAAAAGAAAGTGGTGTTTTTTGTCTTAGGATTGGCTGTTACGTATACCTTTGGACGATTTTCTAAGAATATAACGATGTCTCTTCTCATAGCCAATCAGAACTTGTCGTTATCGGTTTATCATTTGCGTGCCAGTGCTTTTTTTCTTTTTTTTATCTTTATATATAACACGCTAGAGCGAACAGTAGCCCAATAGGCGACGTACAAATATTTACAGTGTAGTTCAAATATAGAAAAAATTACTACATTTGACACCTAATAGATCAATCAGTGGTTCTCAGCTGCTTACACCACAGTGTGAGTGCATTAAAGCAATCCAAAGTCAACAGAACAACACAATACGATTGCTTTAATCTCACAGGAAAATACACTTCGAAACGCATACAGAATTCAAGACTCGATTCCACGATTACGACCGACACTTGCGATAAAAAACGATAGTTAAGCGATGGTATATGAGCTTGTCCCTTTACAACTGTGAGTACTTGAACTTCTGCGTAGCTTGTATTAGACTTGTACCACAAGATGAACGATAGCTGTACGATTTGTACGGTTTCGTAAACTATAAAACAAAAAGTAAATATCAATAAATACTAGAAAAACCTAGTAAAGAAAAAGGGCGAACTAAAAACTTACTATTGTTTCCTCTATAACGCCGTAAAAGAAATGATAACCGTAAAAACTACGTTTCGAAATAACGACTTCACCGTAAGACATTTCTTTCCATCGATCGAGCACATGGATTCCTTCTTCCCGTGACGCGTTGCGAGGCGGCACGCCAAGGCGTGCGTGACATTACGCGTGCGCTCCCTTAGTCACAACGTAACGGCAGTAACACACAGAAAAAGAAAAAAGCGAAAAAAGTTTGGAACTAAACAGTCAACAGTTTCCATTTCTACTCAACTTTGCGGGAGGAACTTGAGCAGCCAGCTCTCAAAAGATTGAATTCCCGTGACATTTATGATGCCAACGACGCTGTCTGTTACAGTCCGTTGAATTTATTGCTTCGTAACATTATATACATATTTATCTTGTCAGACATCGATGAGTGCGACCCAGACAAATCTCTTCATCGTTGCAATCAGATTTGTGAAAATACTTTAGGAAGTTACAACTGCTTGTGTGAAAAGGGATTCGAAATAAGCAGAGATGGATACACGTGTGAAGGTATGAAGGCAGTGTGTGCTATTATAACTTACTGCCGTTCTAACTTTAATATACTCCAACTTCACTCTTTGACTTCAACTGAGGATATAAAATTGTAGAATACCTTTAATTTAATTTCCACTCGATTAGTAGTTTACTACCCAAGTCCCAAGTTATATTCTCGGGCGATGAAGGAAAGTGGTTTTATTTTTTGTGGTTTAAATGCAATTAAATTTCGTCCGACATCAAACCACCATGTTTTTGCGGCCTGGTTTCCACCGGTAGATGTCAGCAGAAGCCAGGTTACCCGGAATTCGCGGCAAAAAATTCGTGACATCACTTTCTTAGCCGGTCGGCTCATACATCACGACTAATTTATCAAACCTCTCTTGATTGATTTCCTGGTTCTCCTCTACTTATATTTAATTAAATGCGCTACTGTTTTCGAAAGTCTTTCATTTTGAGAAGTCGCTGTCCTGTCCAGGAGAGAAGCAACCGCTTCAATGCAGTGAATTGCGCTATACAGATGCGGGTCTGACAGAGAAAATATATGATGTGTAGGTCCGAAAAAAGACAAATGATGCTAAACCCAAGCCTTCACACCTCTTCAGCTTTCTACTGCAACATGCAATCTGTATAACTAACTGGATCCAAAACATATATATATATATATATATATTCAATGCTCTTCAATTAAATGAATTGAGCGCTCTACGGAATACGTTCTACCCAGAATACAAATATTTATATATATATATATATATATATATGAGCTTCTTATCTCATCGTGTTTTTATTAGAAGAGAAAAATATTTTAAAGGAAATAAAGGGAGATGTAAAGAATAAACCACAAGAGGACACAGAAAAAATCTGAGCCCAAGATAGGATTCGAACCCACGACCCTCTGAGGACTCGCTGGCGAGCAAGGGTCATTTTTTTAGCTCATGGATGACGTAGTCATGCCATGGGCTTTTGGAGGCACTCGAATGGCACTCGATCACTCACTCACTCACTCACTCACTCGATTCTCATTAATTTATTCATTAAAGTCAAATTAAACACTTCACTGTTACCTCCCTTGCTTAGTATTACTTTTGTTCCAAGTGCCTTTTACGCATATGTTTGGCATATTCTACAGGGTACTAGTAAGGGGTACATTTTTTTCCCCACACAAAAGAGTAGCCAGCCGAAGATGGGTTTTGCATGAATGGAAATATTCTAAAGACCACTGACCATGTCATCTGCATGGAAGATGGACTTGGAATTGTTAAAAGGACGTTGAAATAATTGAGCGTGGATCATTATTGAATATTTGGACGAATTGTGCACATTTGTTCCAGATATTACTAGATATGGAGAAGATGCGATCGACAGGAGTGTGAAAGAGCTATCGAAGCCTGACGATGGGATTTCGTTCAGCGAAAAGCGAATAAGATAAGCCAAAGAGCCTTAGCTACAAAGAAAAGATCCTCGAATTGTAAAGCGACGTTGACCTTCACATGAGGAAGCAAATTATTTTACAAGTAAAAAGCGCCATAAAATGCTGCGCTGATAACAAGTTTCTAGAATATTCAGGTGCACATGCAATCGGATATTCGACTGTGTCGGGTTTGGATTCCTAAGGTCAGAACACGTACAGCTTCGCGCAAGGATAAAGTGAGTGCTATATAGAGATGCCAAAAAGTTACCGAAGAAATGCTGACGAAATATGAAATGATTTTTAAAACCGACACTGTATGCCAAAGACCAAATGCTATAAAGAATGTGAACATGATTTATCAACTAACCAACACTCAGAGAAAGTCATGAAATATAAAAACAACTCAGGAGGATCTTTTCCGGAAGTGAATATGTTACAATGCCCAAGCAGTTTAAAACAAGTGAATTTCAAAATGGAATGTTTCTCAAGCCCTCCTGAGTTACTATAAATACAGAGGTGATAATTTTCAAGATTCGGTTGTCAACAATAACGAAATTTAATCATGAAATTCAAGAGCAGTGGCACTTTGCACCCATGCTCGTTTACGGTTCAATTCATCCATGAGCTCGCTCCTAAGAGCCTTTGATTTGTGGGTTGGACTTACGAACCGCATCATGCAGTCTCAGAGTCCATCACAAGCTAACACATTAAGGCTTAACTGCATCACGCAGTCACATGAATTGACCACTTCAGAAATACCATAACATACCATAATGCTCTTTGTTTTGCACCCCAAAATTTTGCATAAGCATTGTTTTCAGTTTCTCTTGGGGCCATTTTCAGGGGCACCCAATGGATCTGTTCCTCAAAATATCTGTTCTTCAGGCATATTTTTGCTGGCTGGGAGATGTGAAAGAAATAATAGTCCTTGGAAGGAAAGTGTTGCTGGGAAAAAGATAATTCAGGGTGTCAGAGGGGATTTGAAGTCTAGAATAGCTGCCACGGGTTACTTGTATGGGTTACTTACCACTCAAGATCTGAATATTGTGCCCTATGAAACTTCCCAGTAAGTCAGGTTGCAGGTTGTAAGGTTGCTGGCTGGGAACTTTTTCATCAGTCTTGCTGGGAGTGAGGAACAGATAATTTTTTTCCAGCAATCTCCCAAAATGCTTAAAATAGTCTCAGAAAACTTCATTCACGCTTTGTTGTTGTTTTTAGGTCTTTTTCTCAAAATTTCCCGTTGGGTGCCCCTGCATTTTAACTCCCAAGAGAATCTGAAGACAATGCTTATGCAAAATTTTGGAGTGACAAATTATGGTATTTCTAGAGTGGTCAAAAGCAAGAAATGCCTTGCCTATGAAGAAGCCTCCAACCAACCAACCTATACCACTGCCAGATATATATAATGTTATAAAGACATCTCCCTTTATTTCCATAAATAGATAATGAGTAGTTCAACTGATTACCTGCCCTTTTTTTTTTCTTTTAATGCAGATGTCAACGAGTGTGTGAATGATGATTTATTCAATTGCACGGATGAGTTTCACATTTGCGTTAACACTCGTGGCTCGTACAAGTGTGAATGTGGTCAAAACCTGTGCTTTATTGATGGAAAATGCAGAGGTAATATACCAGTTCAGAGGTAATGTGTCAGTACATATGTTGTCAAAGCTCAAGTCACCAAGACTACACTCCGCTCGGATTAAGATCACATTCCTCTTACTTATGTTATTGTTCCTGGGCTCAAACCATTCATAATGAGCAAAGAGGTGAGAATGATTATTTTGGGACTTGAGCCCGTTACACTGTCCGCCTCCGCCTCCCGCCTCCCGCTCCCCCTCCCCCTCCCTCACTTTCCCTTTCTCTCTAGCATCAGCAAAGATGCTCACCTGTAACTCTCCTGAAAATAAACGGTGGTTAATTGATTTACATACGCTGACCGCGCAGGCAGCCTTGAACTTTAGTTTCCACTTATGCTAAAGCTACTAACAAGCCATCCTTATCCTGTCTTTGTTGTAAATTGAAAGCTATTTGAAGATCTCGTGGCAGAATGATATTGTTCGTTTTTCCTGTCTGCAGCCACAGAATCATGTGATCCTCCGCTTCCGCCGCATAAACAGGCAAATACAAAAGAAAAGGAAAATGCTGTAGAGATTACGATTGCAGCGAGCAACGAAGTAAGTGAAACATTTTCCCGCCTGTTTAGTCAGGGACCCTTAGTATGAATGAGTATTGGTAATGCAGTGCTGCATGAGTAGAATGAAGTGATTGGCTGACGTCTTAAGCCACCAGGGCAAAAAGTAATACATCTCGAAGCTTCATCTGCAGAAACTGGGTTAAACCTCCCCACCGGACTGACCCTCATAAAGTAAACTAAACTTCAATTAACCCTGCTTTACGGAAACCCGCGTAATACCCCCGAGAAAAGCCTAAACCTATTTTTGTTAAATTCAATCCAATTAAAACGGACCACGTTAATGCGGACAAAGATTACGTTTTTTTTTGTTGTTGTTGTTGTTTTTTTAACAATCAACAGATTCTCGCAGAATGTTAAATATTTTTAGTTTAACTTACGTTTGCGTAGCCTTTTTTGCGCTTTTGCACAGAAGGGACTACGCTGGGTGCGCTTGTCTGCCACTCAACGGAGAAGCTTTGGGAATTAGTAATATTCAAATACTGATTTACGATCTTCTCAGTAACATAAAAGGGGAAAAGGTGTTTGCGCGGAATCAATATTGGAGTTCTTTATAAAAATTAATTATATCAGCATCAAACCCTAGTCAAGTATTTATATTAAGTCCGAAGGTTCTGTCGACCAATGCCCTAACAAAACCAATTTGTGACGTAAAGCGGTGAGGCTAAAAGTAATTGGTTAAAATTCCCATAACCTTTTTTTGCGAAACACAGTCCACTGTGGTTTTAAGATGTGACTATCACCTTTCTTTATGTTATTGTCGACTGCCTTTTGTAGTCAACGCTTTTAGAACTACAGGACTTCGAAATTTTTGTTTTATCGACGATATTTTACTATCATTAAAATGGTGACCATTAGTTTTGGGTTTTTGAGACAGAACACGATGTTGAATAATTTTTCACCTTTATGCAGCTGTATTTCTCGGCGTTGGGAGGTTTATTTCCAAAAGCGTTTTTGGGAGCTTATTGCACCAATAACTGCCTCTGGGTTCGTAAAGTTTGAGGGGGTTAACGAGATATTTTGGGATGAAATTTTTATGTTAAGAAACATAGTAAAACGTGCAACGACCTTAATGATTGGTCAATTTCTATATAAAACCAAAGCGCTTTCCAATGCCAATTCACCTCTTAGTAGTTATATTTCATTTAAAAACGAGTGTGAAAAGATCATGGAGTTATTGTAGCTTTACTCCACTAAAACCTCCCACAGAGACGTTCTCGGGTTCGTCACGCGTTCCTACCTCACAAAGTGGGGCAGGAACGCGTGACGAACCCCTGAGAACGTCTTCGCGTGAGGCTGCCTCCAGTATTGCTAGAAAGCGCATTGCGGTGCATTACGGTGCTCTTGTTGGCGTTTTTGTTATTGTGGCCTATTTTAACAAATGTGCAAATAATTTGAAAATTGATATTCTCGAGATTAATCATCGGTTTATATGACTTTTGAGTTCCAAGTTCATTAAAAGCTTGAACTCATGTCAATAAAAAATGGACTCCTGTGCGCTGATGGTTCTGTTGCAAATTTTGTCTTTTCAATAAGGGACGGACCATTAGAAAAGTGATGGGGTGGGGGGGGGGTGGGGAAAAAAAACAAAAAATATTCATGCAAGAGAAAATGCCAAGAATTCATGCAAAGGAGAAGGTAAAGAAAAAAAATTCATGCAGAAGGAAGGTCCAATTGTGACTTTTTCATAAAGTCTGAGTTTCCGAAATCAACAGTATTACCAGACACAATATGAATAAACAAAAATCACTTCCTTCTTATGAAAGGAGACCATTATATTAGAACCTTGTTTTTGTTTTAAATTGCAGCTAGTGTACCTACAACATACACTGTATACTGTATTATAATAAAAATAATAAAATAAAATTTGTAATAAATAAATATTAGAATTTGGTAGCTTTGTAAATATTCTATAAAATTATTTGTGCCCACAAAAAGATACACCTACGCTATTGGTCCCTTTTGCAGCCAATGGCAAGTTAGTATTTTCGATCCCAGCCACCAGTATTTAAACAGCCTGCTTCGCTCTTTGTACCTAAGACTTTATCATAGTAGCAACTGACGAGAAATGCTATAGTTTCGAAACTGCAGTCTTGCGTAAGAATTCATTGCAGTCGCATAGACGACTGTTAAGCAAAAACTTAAGTAAATACCTTCGAAGGCACAACAAGGCATCGCGCTCTAGTTCAAAGACTCACTTATGTTAAGAAAAACTAAATGGACTGTGTGAGCGCTAAGAGAATTATCTTGACTGACGCACGGCATATTTCTCCAAACTTGGTGTAGCTTTAGTTTTAGCTACAATGTACAACTCAAATCTGAAGATCGCACTATCTGTGGAAATTCAAAATCCTGCAAACCACAGTACAGAGCTGGGCCCAGAGTCATACTCACATGGCAGGAAATAATCACATTCACGGACAAAGAAACTTGCATGCATGCATATAGTTATTCAGGTACAGTCATTTCCGAGAAAACCAAAAAAACTAAAATCTTTATTCATCCGTAATAAACAGAGTTCAAAGGATATAAAACACTTTACAACTGCATCTGAAATCAAATCCTATCAGGGACACCTACAGAAGCATAAACCACAGGAAATGATTACTCAGTATGCATGTAACAAACCGGCTTCATGACCTCTAAATATGAGACTTAGTGGAGCAAAAACAAGATTTACTCAGTCAAAGTTTAGAGTGCTACTATACACGTCTTGCACTGTGTAGTGCTAGTAAACTTCGCGCGAGAGAAAAAAAGAAAGAGAACCACTGTTCAAGCAGACTCTCAAAATCACGTTTCACTTTATCACGAGCTTATGAGTTGTGTTTGGCCTATCAACGCTTATTTCTTGCTGTTTTGGTGAATGGAGTATGGCATCATTATGATCGGCTGTAGGAGAGGAATTCCAGAGGGCAGGGACTGAAAAAATGCACAGGGAAGCCGTCCACTCCAAGTGGCTTCCTCTTCTCTCACTAGTCTCACCGTGCGTACATTTTCTAAAAGATTTTGCATTAAAGTGGCCTGTATCCTTTGTTCTGTTGTGAGTGTAGAATAATTTATAAAGCCCAAAAACGTAGATAATGATTCAAGATTTCACTGTTCAAAAAAAAGCAATATTTGTCTGAAAAAAAAAATTCGTGCAGAGGGGTTCACCTGAAAAAAAAATTCCTGCAAGCTGAAAATTCCCCCCCCCATCACTTCTCTAATGGTCCGTCCCTAATATATCTTGATTACGCTCACATAAATTTTGCTCAACTTGAGGATATTGTGACAGCTATTGGAGGAACAAGCTCCCGTGAAAGATTTTGGAGAAAAAAACCTCCCAGTGCCGAGAAATAACTCTGCAAGTAAAATAGGTAATGACGTCACTACGTTGCAATGGCAACCCCGATGTCAATAAAACACTAATCATTACAAATTTTCATCTTTGACTGAAACAGTTATGGTGATAGTTTTCCTAATGTATAGCTTTGTTAATGGCGACGTAGTTAATGTTCAAACTTGAGAGGTATTGTACCTAAAAAATTGAGTAGAGCCACCTTAATACAAGAATACCGTTAATGCGGCCACTTGTTATGGTTGCCTCAGTGTCCGTATTAAATTATGCATGTAAACAAGTATTCACCCCAACTTAGGAAAGACATAATTCAGTGGTATTTGTAAAACCTAAAAGTAGTGTGCATTCCAAACCACAGTGGCTCGCCGTAAGTCTTCATTTCTTATAAAAAATGTAGAAATTTGCTAACCCATGTTTGTTACAAAATCATCTTTTTCTACAGTTCAAATGGGATTTCAATACTGACAAGTCTTTCAAAGAAAAAACAGCTGTAGTCACCACCAGCTACTGTACAGAGAACAGGACAGAATGTGCACTGAAGCAGGAACCGCGTTTCAGGTAAATACATCGTACATACGTAGTGCCGTTCCTTCCACATAACAGCACGGTTAGCTCAGTTAGAAGAGCGCCGGTAAACAAAGTGGAAAGTCAAGGGCTTAAATCCTAAGAGGAACTTCAACCATGGATTTTTAATATTTTGATAACATCTCTCCGGCTGCAAACCGGCTGCATCTTGTCTCACTTTAAGGTTGCGACGTTGAGCCGCTGACATTGTTTCCTTTGGAGTTCAACGTTGCTACGGAGGATGAAAGCACTGGCTTCTCACCAATGTAGCGTGGGTTCGAACCTCGGCGTCGATGCCATAACCTGTATAGTATTCGTTTCCGTTTCCTAATAGCCAAACGAGAGGAACTGTGGTCGTTTCTTCCGAAACTAGATCGCCTGACAGCGTTTCGCCCAGACCTAAGTTGGCTTGCCCGATAACATACAACACTCTGACACACGATGAACGTACTTATCAGAGATGTTTAGTAAAGCTTGGATTCCACATGTGCAGTCACTGTCCTTCCATGCTTATTCCTTTTTCTCAGGTTTGAAGAACGACAAATACACATCGGGCGAAACGACTTAGTCTGGGTGAACTGCCATCGGGCGATTCGACTAAATGCAGAGAAAACGCAAACGATTGCTTCGCAAGTTAAAGCTCATCCTCGGTGTAAGAACCTGTTAACCTCACGGGTGACTTAGGGCCTGTTTACATGGAGGTGGGGGACCCCAGGTAGGTGAGGTAACCTGCTTAGGTGAGGTAAAAAAATAACCCTCCTTTACATGCAATCTTACAACCCCGCCTTTTCGGGGTGCACTTTCTCAAGATTATTGAATGGTCGCTAAGCACGTAAACAAGAAAAATGCTGGCAAACCACGAGTTTTGGCGATAAATGCACTTCTTCACTCACTTGTTGCTCTTGCTGCAACCCGTCAGTGCAATAGCTTTCTATTGTTAACTTTAATCATAATGCAAAGACACCGCGAAAGTGAATTTTGCGCGAATTTGATGTATCACGAATCCGACCCCGGCCAGGCGGGTTACCCCACCTTGAAACGTTTACATGACAAATTGTGACCCCGGCTGAGAGGGTAACCCGGTCTGGTAGACCGGGCTACCCGCCTTGGCGGGTCACCCCACCTATCATGTAAACGTGATCAAATGAAAATGAGAGATTATATGGACAGGCGGGTTACCCCACCTAAGCGGGTTATCTCAGCTACCTGGGGTCCCCCACCTCCATGTAAACAGGCCCTTAAATAAAGAAAACAAAGAACTAAACACAATAGAACCTAGAAAAACAAAAGGCGCGAACAAAGAAAAAGTTCACAGGTTCTTACACCGAGGTAAAACCCAGGTTAAATGTAGGTAGAGCTCTTTGTAAGTTCTCTTCTCTGCTTTAAGAGGTTTTTCTCCGACTATTCCTGGTTTTCAATCTCCTTAAAAACCAACATTTCCCAACTCAAATTCTATCCGGAATCCGGAATATGGTAGACGAATAGCCACTAACTGGATATGTTATCACTAAATCATATTTATATATGTATTTAATGGTCCAAGGTGACAAGAATCACCCCACCCCACCTCCCCTCCCCCCTAAATATTATTTTCAAAATAAAAGTCACCGGAATTATATGTTTTATGAGCTGCATTTGTATGGATTACCATGGGCTCAAATCAGTGCGCTTCGCCCGTTTACGGTTACCTTGGCAATAAGCACTTGTAAGGAGAACAAAAGAGCGGAATTAAAGTTAAGTATTCGCTTATTTGTTGGTTTTTAGACGTGCTCTTGATTTTGAACTCTACACTGCTGACTATGTCCACCTTCTGCCTGGGTATCCTAGAAACGGCTCAGTCTCTCGCGCTGTGGCTTTTTACGTACAGCAGCCGCCAGGATTATTTATCGGAAATAACTCAGTATTACCTAGCAACACTTTGGTTGATATCGTCGCATTATACAAGTCTGAGCTTGAGGGTGCAATTGGGGCAACCATATCCAGTGTAAAAGCTCTCTTCACACCAACCGGAACGACGACGACAACAAGAATACCTATCGAGGAAAGTGAAAACAACAACTGGAAATGGATTGTAATCGGTGTTATTGTTGGAATACTTTTCATCATTCTGATTATTGCCTTCGTATTTTGGCGGTAAGTTTTCTGTGTATATTTCCTGGCAGCATTCGAATACATTCGTCTCTTCTCGCTTCTGTTAGGGCCGACCATTTAACTCTTGACAGGGGGGGAGAGGGGGTGATTTTGAAAAAAAATTTCCAGCAAGCGCTTGTCCGAAGAAAAAAATTGCGTGCAGCACAAATGTAATAGAATACTTATGGGGAAAAAAGGGAAAAAAATATCCTGCCCACCAGATTGCTAGAAAAAAATTCTTGATGATCAGAAATCACCCACCCTAAACCCTTCCCCCCTCAAGAGTTAAATGGTGGCCCCTTAGCTCCCTTAGAGAGGAGAGACGGATAGCTGTATTAGCAGGCTAACTTCCTTATCAGTTTTTCATATAACAGTTATTAAAAACAGATACTTTTTAATCTCACTGGACTGTGAGCAACTGTGGTACTACGCCCAGCTCATGTATTATGAAGCAAACAAGAGTGCACTGTTGGAAAGTGTGCATGTTTGTCACGTGCGGATTTTGGAGCCATGCATCTAAATGCAACAATACATATAGGTCACCCTGAGTTGTACATGTTCCATTACAATAAATTTAATAAATGCCTCAAGATTACAGACGCTGTACTTGTTTTTTTTTTACAAGCAATATTTGTGCAAGTGTTGTGAGCTTTTAGGCAATTCGATGAGCAGAAAAGCAAGGAATAAAATGATCTACATGATCACATAGAATTATTAGGGACGTTTAGATCCAACGACGCGACGGCAACGAGAACGTCCCCTAAAAAGTGAATTTGCGTTCCTTCAGTCTTAGTAGCGATTATTCCTACCCATTTACTTTGTCAAATGTAGGCGAACCCTCCCGAAGTTGAATTTCAAGGGACCATAACCAAGCTCAGAAAGAGAAATAAAATTTCGTCGTTGCTTGTTTACGTCCTCCATAAACGCAAAATTAGGCATTTTCACGTCGTAGTCGTGCAAAAACAGGAAAGAAATGTACAAAAAAGCGTTATAAACGTGCGAAGTTGTTGTTCTGCTTATTAAACCAGTTGTTTTTTTGACGTTCTCGTTGCCGACTGCGTTGTTGGATCTTCAAGTCCCTATTACTGAGGTAGGGGACATCGTACAAAGGAAATGAATCTCTAGTATGATTCAAAATATCTCACTAAGCTGGCGAATTATCGTGGGGTACACTTCGACGGACCTAAAGCTGTTACTGACCCAACATATTCGTTCTCTTTCTTCTTTAGTATAAAGAAGAAGAAACCTTTAAAAGTAAAACCAGGCTCAGATGAGGTCCCTGAAGACGCAATCATCATGGAAAGTTACAATACTGCATCAAGTCGTGAACGTCTAACTGCCTGGAAGTGAAAAGGCGACAACGTACATATTAGTAACACTCAGTAGATTAAGCCCTGACGAACGAGCCATTTTCTTCTGGGGGCATGCCATAAGACTTCCCTAGATTAAAAGAGGCTTATGACCCCTGTTCTGCCTTATCTCTAGCAGAGACAGTTTTCTAACCTGCTGCTCAATTATGTCGGGAAAACCTACTGGAAGTCTCGTTTCTAGTTTCTTGTATAAACACATATAGTTTCCTTGTAAAAAAATATGACAACCTGTAGAGTCATCATTTATTCACTCTCTCTTTAATCTTATCACATATATGTATTTACTCAAGACATTTATTACGAACGTGTGTATGTACGCTAACTTACTTACTTTATAACTCGAACTGTAAACACTAGTTTTCTGTATTTTTTGATATAACTTTTCAAGAATAAAAATTTTAATGTTTGTATTACATTCAAGGAGGGGACTGATACATTCCCATCCCTTATCAGCAGAGCTAAGTAGATCTTCTCATACAAGTTTGTCAAATTCAGAGGAAAAGGTGTTTTCCCAGTTTTGCTCTAGCTTGTCACACCTGAATATTTTAATGCCCTTCTTCTTAGCTTTCTAAGGCTTATACTACTGCATGAGAAATGTCTACAATTTGATTGGCTTAGAGCTCTGTCAGCTTGATTTGAAATATCTACGTGTGAAATTACAAAACCTTTGCGAGTAGCAGTATGAAATAATAGCATGATTTGTACGTGATATTTGGCATAAATAGTACTCGTGATATTTCAAAATTGTCTCAAATTTCACTCGCCTTGTGGTATTTGGCCCAAATATTACTACAAATCATGCTATTACCTATACTAATATACGATGGAACCTGTATTAAGCGGACGCCCACTCAACTATCCCTGTAACCATTAACACAGGTTGTTTTTAACGAAAATCTAGAAAGAAAAGGAAGGATTCAATAGAGACAATGGAGGGTGTCAATGGGGTACCATGATACTGCTAGCCAGTGTAGGAATTTCCTCTAACCAGTGATTGGCGTTTTTAGATTTCCACTTTCATCACTGTGCATGCGACTAAAACCCCTTTCTTGGCACCATAGAAAAAGGAGTGTCACTAGTATTCCCTATTTTTGATGAAATAATAAAAAAAGGCTGATATGAATCACGTAAAACACTAAACAAGAAGAGCTGGAAAGTGTGCTGTGGAGAGAAAACTACTTCTCAAATTTCATAACGCTAAGGCAACCGCAATACCGCACGG